ATATTGTGTAATATTTTAAATCCAGGAATCGTAGATAGAATTTATAAATTTCTGACAAGCTCAATGTAAGTGGGTAGTATTATTTATTCAAAGGATATGCTCTCTCATTTCAACTAGACCAGTTCAGATTTTTTTCTCAGTACTAAAGGTATCTGCATGAATAATGAATGACAATGAATATGAATTATAGATGTGAACTAATGGAGGCAAATATAGTTTAATTGGATCTGGTTTAGGGGAATGTTCCATATATTGAGATGATTTTTTTTTAAAGATTTATTTATTTTTGCATATAAGAACTGGGGTACAGGCCAGAGGTGTGCGGGGGTGAGAGGATTCACCAGAGACAGAGTGGGAAACAGAACAGGCAGACTGACTGAAATACACTGCTGAGGGGAGCAGTGGGCGAGTCAGGAGAGGTCTGCTGCGCCCTGTGGGTAGGTCCCTGGCCAGGGATCGAACTCGTGCTGCAGTGGCTGCAGATAGCTTCATAGGTTGCGTCTTAACCCCTTGTGTCACAAGGGAGGCCTGTTAAGAGATGATTTAATTTTATTTTGATATGGCATAATTTGAATAAAATCTATTTCACAATGCCAAAACTGGTTTTACTTAAGGGTAAATATAGACAAAAATTGTATACTTTAGTACTGTCAAATAGGGTATAGAAAAAAAAAATCAAACTTAACCTAACATCCCCTATCATCCTTGAAAAATTCAAATTCCCAATTCAACTGTTTTTAGGCTATATGAATTTTTTACTGTATTTCATCATTTAGATAGAAAAAATCATTTAGTTTATTCTCCCAGTGTTACTTTTGATTTTAGACATAGGATTATGCTTAACCCATTTGTTAAATGTATGTGCTAATTGTCCAACATGTAATGGACCCATTTCTATTCTTTTGACTTTTTTGTAAACTGAAATTTCTAGTACTTTCAGCTTTAAGTATACTTTGTCAGGGATCTGAGCAAAGACTTGATTATCACCAGCATGCGTTCTTTCTGATTCCACCAGAACAATAGAAATGACTCAAGTTAATTATTTTATGCCTCCCTAAAGTTCAATAATAGATGAGAAAGGATTTATATGACATTAATTTTCTTTTATTCATTTATCAAACTGATGTTAAAAGATTTAAAAAATATTAATTCTATTCAGAACACGTCAGGATAGGTCTTCTGTTTTTCTTTCTCTTATTTGAATTAGTTAACTAAAGAGATAATATCTTTTCATTTGGTTTATTTTCTAGATTTATGGAACAAAATAGTGGAACTTATTAGTTCCTTACCTAATATACTTTCAGGCATTCTTGCCGTGTGGAGTGAGATGGGAGGTCTTGCTAGTTGTCCCAGGAGGGACAATATCAAAATGACTCTTACTCCTTTGCTAGGGCTGCTGTCATGAGTAGCGCAGACTGAGTGGCTTAAACAACAGAAACTCATTGTTTCATGATTCTGAAACTAGAAGTCTAGGAACAAGGTGTCAGCGGGACCTTGCTTCCTTTGCAGGCACCAAGGATGGCTCTGTTCCAGGGCTCTCTCCTAACTTCTGATAGCTCCTTGGCTTGTGTGAGTGAACTTCAGTCTTCAGATGGTGCTCTCCCTCTGTGCATTCTCTGTGTCCAAATTTTTCTTTTTACAAGAATTTAGTCATATTGGACTAGAACCCACTGTAATTACCTCATCTTCACTTGATCATCTGCAAAGACCCTAATTCCAAATAAAGTCATATTCATAGGCACTGGGGGCTAGCACTTCATCTTTTCAAAGGACAGCGTTCAACCCACAGCAATAGCTTAAAACAGAAAAACCATAAAACTTGTAAAGGAATTTAATGTTCTTCTCTAGATGACTTGTATTGATCGAGATGGATAAAATGGTTAAAGGGAACATTTCGTGACTGTCTCTCTATTTGGAATTCCTGCTTGTTAGCAAAGTTGTCTATAAAACATATTTCTGTACCATAATTCTTTTATGTTCTCTTTCCTTTATAGAACTGGTGATATATCTACATAGAATAAAAATAATAGTAAACCAAAAAGATAGTATATTTAACATTTTGGGGCAGGAAATGAAGTTAGCAGGATTCTGAGGACTGTCACTCAGGGGCACATTTTGCCTACAATGTCAGCAGATAGTTGACCATTTAGTTTTACTTTCCAAACAAACTCTCTGGGGGCTTGTTTTCCATGACATGCCATCATGTATAGCTCTGCACTTCCACATGCTCTGTTACTGGTTTGGTCTATACATTTATAATACCTAATATACTGATCACATTTTAAAAACTGGAGTATTTACAGTAGAATAATTGCCATCCAGTTGGCACTTGAGGGACTTTAAGACAGAGCATCCCTAGATGCACTGGGGACGGGTCCTGAGACATTAGCTGAGACTATGAGCATCACAAAGTGCTAGGCTTGTGTAGAGGAGTGTGAGGAAGGAAACAGAGGTCTTTTTTTTTTTTTTTAACAAAACCTTGTGACAACTGAGCAATATTTGTCAAACCAAGGCTTTTGTCTAGAATTTATCTGAAGCACTTGATTGCATTAAAAATGAACTTACCTGGCTTTGACCTTTGTAAGTTGCTTTATTGTTTCATATTGGTTTTTGCTTTTCATTGAGTTGGTTTTTGCTTTTCACCTTGTAGTTATGCATCTATGAATTTGTGCAAATGGCTCATCTTTCTACACATTTGTACAGCCCATGGGAGGATCACCAGAAAGCTACTTCTCTGCTATTTTATTATATGTGAAATTCTACAGGCTGCCTTGTGCTCTTCCTGGCAAATTTATACCCTATGTTTGGTGGAGTCATTGCGCAGTGTATCAAATGAAATGGCGAAAGCAACATGGCATAACGCATACCAATTGTGTGTCAAAATCTTTATTTTGGATTTCTTATTTATACTATTATGCAGATTTAAAAAAATACCCCCTCTAATTATTAGAAAAGTTGTGCACATCATAGAATGTATACCATTAAGAAATCTCTAAGGTCAGTGTAGATAATATCTCATAATATTTTAGAAGTGTGTATGGCTTTGAGGAAAGGATGCACTACATGGAACGCCATTGCTAAAAAGCTTTGTGTGTTGGGAATGTTGTGTTGCAAGTGGATTTTGACAAGAGAACTCATTAGTCATAGATGTGCAAATTGCCTTTCCAGAATTGCAAATATTTGTATTCATTTGTTGCAGAAAAATTGGATGCTCTTTGAACTTTCTTCCAACCCTTGACATGAGTAATTTGAGGCAGGGAGGGTGGAATTAATAAAAAGATAGTAGATTAATTTAAATACCATTTCAAGTATTTGTTTGAAGTGTTGAACTAAATTCTTTTAGTTGAAGTAAATGGTTGGTATTTGCAATATGCATAATACTATGTGGGTCTCTATAGAAGAGATTTTGTCATTAAAAACCTTTAAAGTCTTTAAACATATTTCTTTAAAATGTTCTGCTGTTTGTACTTTTCATTGAGCTAGACAAGGCTTCTTCTTAGTCTGAATTAAAGAGGTTCTGAATGTATGAATGATTTATAGATAACCATACCTTCTCCTGAATAATCAGGGTCTGACATTGTAATGCTTTGTTTGCCTCCACTTACTATTGCTTCTTATTTGAATTAAATGACATTTTTTCATATGAAAAGGATGTATTTTTCTTAAATGGTTACATTTTTTTAAGGATGATGAGTGGAACATAATAGCGGTTGATGACTAGTCCAGTGTAAATGAAACAAATGGGTAATTTGTGGATCTGACATTTTAGCAAAATTATTTTAAAACTCTACATAACTTTGCAAATATATAAAATATGACAGCGTATTCTTGTAGGACTTATTTTTTTAAATTGTGTTACCTATGAAAGAAAGGCTGTCATAGACAATTTTGAACAGAATTTTAATGCTTGAGTTTGATTCCACCTCTGCTTACATGTGTTCTTATTGCTGCCACCTCATATTTCTTCAGCAAACCAGTACCCATAAGAAGAGCGAAAAGATATTCCCTAAGGGATGAGACTTAAACTGTTGTCCCAGGAGTGTTTATATTTAAATTTTGTCTCTTAAAGTCTGAAAAGAATCATTCATATCCTTGACTTTAGAAGAGCTAAGTGGGGGTGGTGGGATGGTGTGTAAGGGAGGCCAGTTTCTAGGAACATTTGATTACACCGCATCATTCCTACCCTATGCCATTTTTCTAAAATTCACATTAGGTAATGTTCTCAGCTTTGACCCCTCTTTGATATTACAGGCATAATCTTTAGGCCTTCCATGACTGCTCCTTGAGGTTAAAAGCATAAAAAAACATTTTACTCTTTAGTGGACAAACAAATCAAATAGGAGGAGAAAGCACACTGAATCACAGCTAATTATAAGCAGAGCCCTGAATTTTGTTTTTGCTTCTTATCTGTGATCTCATGTGAAGATGTAAGGTGGTCCTTCAGTGGTAAGAGCTTCTTATGTGACGTAAACTACTATTTGAAATGCAGTATCTGACATTTATTAATACTCTTCCATTCTTATCCTTTTACAATTACAATTGGATTTTCTGTTTGCCTCTATAAAAAAGAAAGTATAATTAGCATTGACATTAGTATGCGATTTATTCCCCTCCCCTCCAATAAAAAGGCTGCTCCATCTCCTGTTTTGATATCCTTGTCTAGATACTGCTGTATTGTATCCAAGAGGGAATCAGAGTATAATATAGGACAAGGGCAACTCTATAAAAAGTAACATGTAGGAAGTTAAAACTGGCAATCAATATTCTAGTAGATTTTCTTTTATTTATCCTTCCTTGAAAAGAGAAATGTTACTCTGTGAATAAATATAATTTTGACATAAAAAAAAGAAAGAAGCAGGTGCTATAAGTGGTAGAAACTGGACTGCTCTGACTGAATCTCTCATCACTTAATTGGAAAAATCGCATTAACTAAGGACTAGCTCAGTCTGTTCATATGACTACTTGTTATTAAAGGATTTGGGAATTTTCTTCCTTTATAGGGTCCGTACGACTTCGAGGTGGCAGAACCGAGTCGGAAGGCACGGTGGAAGTGTACGCCAATGGCGTTTGGAGCACAGTGTGTGGCAGCCACTGGCATGACTCTGCTGCCACGGTCATTTGTCACCAGCTGCAGCTGGGGTAAGTTCACCTGTCCTGGACCAACTCCTTCTGCTAATGTCTGAGAACAGTGCTGGGCACCCATCGTGCTGGGGACACATTACTTCTTCCCTCCTTGCTCTCTCTTTCCTTATTCTCAGGATCACAGAAGAGTTACAGGAAAGGGCCCTCTTTCAGTGGAAAGGCTGAGTTCTCTCACACATACATGCACCTCACTTACTGCTGTGTACACACTAGAAAATGAACACAGGCTAAGTGATGACAAGTAAAATGTATCTTTTGCTAGGAAGCAAGGCCTTTGATGCTGAGAGTTGTGGTTTCTCAGTAGCCCATGTAGCAATAGGCCGCTATCATTCTTTCAGCTTCCTCTTTTGAGTTCCCTAACTTTGAGTCTCCCTCCCTTGAGTCCATTTCCGTGTAGAGGAGTTGGAGATGTTTTCCTGTGTTCTTGTTTGGTGATGGGACTTGGGGGTGGAAGTGGGAATGGCTGGGCCTGAGGTTTCTGCACAGAGGATGCTCCGTAGGAGATGACAGCTTCCATCAGCCCAGCCGATGGCCATCCTGGAAGCTCCTGGCTCCTCCGTTACCACAGACATGCTCTATTAAACAGTGTTCTCACCAGGCCCAGCACCTTTATGTCTCGTGTCAAAGGGTTTCTCCTGGAGCAGAAGGCTCCATTTTGAACAAAAGGTTTTGTTTTTGTTACCATTTTTATTCTGTTCTTATGTCTTGTTTATTTTTCCTAAGCAAGCATGCTAAGTATTTTCCTTGACCTTTATCCCCAGAGATCTTTAGGGAGCATGGAAAATATCTTGTTATAAAAAATGCTAATGGATTGATCGCTTTGTAGTTTGCATGCATTTTGGACTACTAGTCATTGAGTAGTAGAACCTAATGGGATGATATAAATGAAAAAGTTAGTCAACTCCAGGTAAACCAGCAAGAATCTCACTTTGCTGGCTTCCTTCTGCCTTCCCACTGAGAAAATAGGGAATGAATGTTAAAGGCAAATATTGAAGGTTTCAGTTTTGTTCACATTATGATCCTAACAGAGCTTCAGGTGGGGTTAATGCAGTGAATTCATTGCTTAAGTAATTATAAAAGAAGCCTTGTTACAGATCAGGATGAAAGAATTAAGGGTGGAGTCTACAGTGTTATCAAGTTTGGGAGTGTTAATTACTGATTTTATCAATGAGTATTTTGTCTTACAGTCATTGGTAGGTGGGCAGACCACATTGAGTATTGACTTGATACTTTTTCTTTTGAGGGCCTGAAGATAGTATGTATTTGTAGACTGGCTTCTGCATCTTCCATTCTATTCTGATATTTTATTACCCCCTATTCAGGGGTAATAAAGTCAGGGAAGAGTAACATTTTCTTGAGACATAAAATGGGCCCCTGTAGGGGATGTGAACCACAGTGTGGTAACAAGATGTTCAACTGATGAATGAGCATAAACTATCTTTCTGCAAACACAAACTTTAGATAAACCGATTCAATTGCTTATATTATCTCTTATTAGACAATTTAAAGAAAAGAATTACACAAGAGCAGAGCAACCCAGTTTTATTGCTGTTAAGACACATTCATCTTTTAGATATGTACCCAAATATTTACTGTTCGGTTTTTGGAATCTCTTGCATGGAGACATTTCTAGAGATTATGATGTTAATCATATTGACATTAAAAATTTTTTTAGAGGTAATGTAAATTTATATATATTAAAGGTTGCTTATAAAATATGTTGATTAAATGCATTAAAACAGTGCTGGTCTGCATATCATTATTTTATTAGTTTCAAAGTCTTGCTACCAAACACTGTAAAGTTCTAAAAATTGTGCATGGATAGCCTCTCTTGATGCTATCTTGCTTAGGTGTTGGAGTAATAATCATTTTGAAAGTGTTACCATAAAATTTTGCAGTAGAAAAGACTCCTAAAGCACTCGAACTTCTCTCTTTATACATCAGAAGGCAGAACTTCGAGAGATTACTGCTTGGATTGATTTTCAGGCAAGCCCAGACTGGAAGCAAAGTCTCATTGGGCACGTGACACACTTCTTGCACAAAACCAAACAGCCTTCCTTTTTATATATTCATAATATTTGCCCATTTTCTTCTAAAACGAGCCCTTTTTGAAGATGCATACATACAATGCTTATTCAAGACTGATTAAAAAGATCGCCGTTGGTAGTTGGTAGTTAGCCCAAGTTCTGATCTGATATTTTGATTTCATTGAACCTAATATAAGTCATTGTTTTTCTTTCTCTTCTACAACCACCTCTATTGGTTTCTTCCATTTTTTAAAATCCAAATGCTTTGATAAAAATATCTACCTATGTTTGATGAGCCTAACATTGATTATTATACTTGCAGAGGAAAAGGAGTAGCAAAACAAACTCCGTTTTCACTACTGGGCTTTATTCCCATTTATTGGAGCAACATCCGTTGCCGAGGAGATGAAGAAAATATACTGCTTTGTGAAAAAGACATCTGGCAGGGAGGGGCGTGTCCTCAGAAGATGGCAGCTGCTGTCACATGTAGCTTTCCCCATGGTAAAAAAAAATATTTATTCTCTTGTTTTACTTTCATTGAGTTTTCAACATGATTCCAGATCATAAAAGTGTCTTAGTTAAATCATTTCCTAAAAGAGTTTAGATCCTGACTTAGGTCTGAATCACTGTATTCCATAGCTAACTGATGGTCTTCAGTAGGAGTACATATAACATTTTGAATGCCACTAGATTTTCAAATGGTATCTCACTTTTTATGTTTCCTATTTTATCTAATTTGCTTGTGAAAAGTTATATACTATATATGAAAGACTTATTTTGGTCATGGTAGATTACGATGGAATCAAGATAGAAAATCAGTTTGAAGCCAAATATAAAATACAGCAATTACAAGATATTTTCACTTTATAGGAGGGAATATAATTATGGTACTGGTGTCTTCCTTTGAGTAGTTAGATAGCACATTCCATAAGAATGGATTACTACCTTGACCAAGTGCTCCTGCTAAGCACCATATATAAGGCATGAGGTAATTAGTAGAGTGGGTTCAGTACACGAATGTGCACATGTTCATATGAACTTGAGTAGAGGAGGGAACAGCTGCCCTTCATGATGGCTGATGGGTTTTCTGGGACCATGGTGTATTTGAATGTTTCACCTCAACCTGAGGCTTCCTCCTGTCCCCTCCAGCATTTGTGCATTTTCCTTGGGGACAGCAATATAGCTAAGTGTCTAGGGTCTTGAAATGCTAGCTCCAGCCCAAGGTACGAATATTGAGGAGAAATAGAAATACTCCCACATTCAGACCAAATTTAAAGTCATCTATCTGCATGCATAAATATAGGAGGTTGAGATAAGGTAGAGGGGAGAAATAACAAAGATTCTCTGTGGTGTATTACATGAGAATGTGAAAGCAAGCAGCTCAAATCAGCAAACACTGAGTGGACCCTTTTAAGGCACAATGATAGACCTTTGATACATTCTTTTAATTTGGAAATTACATTTAGTGTCTTGTCAATCTAGTACATGTTGCTTTCCTAGCTCTTGGATGGGCACTAGATAGAGGAAATAACAATCTAAATGAAAATGCCTCATAGTTTTATTTATCCATTAGTTAAACATTAGTCAGCTACTTCAGTGAATTTATCTTCAAATGACTTTTTGTGTGTTTGTTGGAGGACGTGGGATGTTGACCAGATTTTGACCTTGAGCTCGCCATAGTTTTGTCATTCCTTATACAACCAGAAAAAAAGAAACCTCCCACATTTTAAAATAACACACAACATTTAACAATGTAAAGCTACATGCTGTAATAATTTTAGGCTATATGTGATATTGAATTTCCTCTTGAAAATTTTTTATTTTTCTCTTTCCTCCAAATTTACCCTGGTAGTAGAAACAGGAGAGAGACAGAGGAGGATGTAATTTAAGAAACACATTTTCCAAAAAAAAAAAAGAAACACATTTTCCATCATTTTTTCCTTTTAAAGGAAAAATAAACATAATAGCAAGCAAATTTAAGTTTCTTGTTATCATTCAGCCATCAGGTAATTATAACTAAATATGCAATATTGAGGAGAGTTATGTTTTTAAACCTATCTTAATCTTTTTACAAATTACAAGTGCTGATTAGTGTTAGCTAAATTACAAATATCAGAATCTGAATATATATGCAAATATTTGTAGATCTGAATCTGTTGCAAAACTCAAGTGTGATTATTTGAATATAAATGTGAATATCCAAATACCATTTGCTGACTGCCACTTAGCTGTGGAAGAAGTGGAAGCATATTTCATGTGGATAATAGATTGATATTGGACCAAAGGTGTAGCTAAGCTTCCTAATAGAGGCTCAGTCTGTTCTGAACCTTTTACTCCATTATATCCTCTATTCCAGAAAAAATTGGACTGCCTTACTATTTCCCAGGCATATTAAATTTTGTGCCTCTCTGCCTTTCTTCATATGGTCTGTTTTGCCTGAACTATACTTCTCCCATGTCTGATTTCTGAACTCCCATCCATCCAACCAGACCCTCTTCAGACCAGCTTCTTGAGAGGAGGTCCCCTCAATACGTCCAACAGTGAGCGGGCATCCTTGCTCGGGCACCCCTACAGGGCCTTCTTGATGATCTCTTCTCTGCATGTTCTGTGCACGGCCTTGGGCTCTGATATCTCCAGAACAGGGTCTCTCTAGGGCCCCTTTGAAGGCCTTGCCCTGCTTGGTGCAGCACTTTGCACACAGCAGATGCTTTGCCATAGTCTGCTTGGCAGAATTGAATGCATTGCTAATTATTTCTCCTTGTTGGGATTCTTTCTAGGTTTTTAACTGTCACTTGCCAGTTCACTCAGTCCACACATGTGTGTTGTATGCTTCTGAGTGTGCTGGATACCTGACATAACAAGGGAAAGGGAAAGGCAATGTCTGTGTCCCTGATCTAGTTAATAGTGGGTAGACAATAGGCATGTAACCAGCAAACCACTGCTACTTTAGATAAATACTCAGAAGGCAATAGACAAATTAGGCAATGGAGTAGGAAGTGCCTGAGGGTGCTACGGTAGCTTGGTAGCCAGGGTAGCTTGTCTCCTGAAGACTTTGCAGACAGTGACTGAATGATGGTGGGTTGGCAGCCATGTCAGAATCTGTGGGAAAATTGCTCCAAGCAGAATGAACTGTATGTAAATGAATGGATCCCGAGGTGCAGCCCAACTTCAAGTGTTTTGGGGATAGGAGAAAGAGGATATTGCAACTGTGGTCTTGTGATTGAGGCCAGGAGTGGAGAAAGACCAGCAGAGACTGTCGAGGGCTGGACACAGCACACTCAGATGAGGAACAGGCAATGCGAAGCCTTAGCTGATTCTTTTTTTTTTTTTAAAGATTTATTTTTATTTATTTATGCATATGAGAACTGGGGTGTAGGCCAGAAGTGCAGGGGACGAGAGGACTCACTAGAGACAGAGCGGAGAACAAAACAGGCAGATCCACCAAAATATACTGATGAGGGGAGCAGCAGGCGAGACAATAGAGGACTGCTGTGCCATGTGCATTAGCTCCCTGGCAGGCGATTGAACTCAGGCCGCAGTAGTGATAGCTCTGAAACTTAACCCCTGTGTCACCCCCCTTAGCTGATTATTAACAGAGGAAATGAAGATGAGCTGCTTGATATCCAAATAAATTTCAGTAAAGTTTTTTGCAGGTGCTGGACATGATGTCCACAACTTGGTTAATCAGTTAACTTGATTTTTACAAGTATAAACATATTTCTGCACTGAAAACTGGGATGCTACAGACAAAAGTGTCATCCTTAATAATTCTGTGTTGGTTATGGCCAAGACACTGCAAATAAAGAGAATCAATATTACCACCATAGTGCCATCAAGATCAAATGTATTTCCAGTAAACTGCAGTTTCGAGTGTCTTTTTTTGGCTTTTGAGGTTGTTGGGGAAAAGCGAGCTTGGGCTACTTCTCCTTAAGGCAATTTGTATGAATGTCATTCTACCTGGATAGTACTTTAACTGCTCATGATTACTGCATCATTTATTAGGAATGTGTGTTTGTCCAAATCAGTGAAGTGACTTAATATTATTTAATTGTTGAGAATGGCAAAGAAATAGCATATACTAATCTTATGACTCACTGTCAACATATAAGTTTAATTACTGCCTAATTTCCTCTGTGCACAGGCCCAGCGGTGAGGAGCTCGCCTGTCATCCGCCTCGCTGGGGGGAGCAGTGCCTATGAAGGCCGGGTGGAGCTCTACCACGCTGGCCAGTGGGGCACCATCTGCGATGACCAGTGGGATGATGCGGATGCAGAAGTGATCTGTAGGCAGCTGGGCTTAAGGTTGGTTTTTCTTGTTCTTGTGTTGTACTGAAATCTTGGAATCTGTTATTTCCACACCCAGAGAGGTGTGGTGTGTTTAAATTGCCCATTTCCTTGAACAAGTAGAAAATCAAGTTTCCTTAATCTTTGTACTAGAGAACTTGTTTACTCTGCAGGTCTAGCAGTTTTGTATCTGAGTTTGATTGATTTTATATCTCTATGATGCTGACTTACTCTTCAGTGGTAGCCTTGATGCTACTGAGAAACCTGTACCTATGCCAAAAATAACAAGAATGTCAAGAGTATGATAATAGCATAGTTAACATTAATATCGCAGTATGGATAACTGTAAATTCAAGCTATGTGGCATTTTTTATCACTTATGTATTTGTGTAAAGAAAAAGCAACGTTTTCTTTGGCTTAGAAAACTGCAGAGAAAAATTAAGTGGCATATTGTGAAAGTTACATATAGTTCCAGAAATGATTCTAATAATTCTTGTAATGTCAAGTTCTTTCTTGAGAAACAAGGATTTTTTTCCTCATTCAGTAAAGGCCACATTGACAAACAATGATCTATTATTTAGAAGAAATAAAGGACAGAAAAAGAAGAAAATTCTTTGAACACATACATGGGTTAAGTTTACATCTTTCTGCAATGTTAGTTCTTTGCTCTTTTTTTGTATGAGGGGATTCACATTGGGAAAAATGATTAAAAGGAAAAATATCTCCACGTATACAAAGCAACAAAGGTCCTCCACGAGCCCATGCAACAACCAGCCATCCAGCTTGGTAGAGTTTTGTTTTTATTTATAGTATTCTGATGCTCTGAGCTGATATTCTTTCCCCTTTTTTTTAAATTTTATATTCTTTCTTAAGTTTGCATTAAAATAATTTTATGCAACTGCTCTTCCTCTCGAGTTTTCCTCACTTAAAGGCACAGTACTTTCAGATGAAATTTTTTTTTTTTTAAAGATTTACTTATTTATTTATAGAAGCATTGGGAACAGTCAGAAGCACGGGAGGGTGAGAGAATTCACCAGAGCCAGAGCAGGGAGCAGAACAAGCAGAAGGACCGAAGTACACTGCTGAGGGGAGCAGCGGGCGGCAGGAGAGGTCTGCGCGCCGTGTGGGACCCTCCCCCAGCGGCTGTGGATTGAACCAGCGCTGCAGAGGCTGTGGGCAGCTTTGCAAAACAGTGCTCAAATGCTGCACCACCGGGGAGGCCCCAGATGAAATCATTTTTAATGGCACGTGGTTGATAGCAGGCAGCATAATTGCCATTTGTCTCAATTCATGGTTTGTTCTTTAGCAAATTTCACTGCAGTCTTATTTGCTTTGTTGGATTCCCAGAGGAAGACTACATAATGCCTCCCTGGCATGGTGGCTAAAGTTTCCTTGTGAGATGTTGTGTGGATGACCGCCCCCCCCACCCCCTTTTAATGGTGTCTGTAGATAGTGGTAGTTGGCACACTTCCTAAATACAGATGGAATACTGTGCTTAAGAGACTTAAATTTGATTAACCCAGAACTTGGAGAGAGATGAGGAGCAGGAAAGGAGGCAGCCAGATGTTAGGAGACTGAGCTTAAGAATGCACATATACACTCTGAAGTGCACATGTACACAATGAAAATGATGAAGTTTCAGCTGGAGACATTTTAAAGTCCCTTTGTGCTCTTCATATTAGAGCATTTCCTCAGATCTTTCAAAATGCTTAAGAGTATAGTTTAGAATGATGACATCATGTTTTACTGTGTGGATATGACATAATTTGCAAAGGAATTTATCATTTTTGAAAATTTCTTTCCTCTTAGATTTTTTTTGTATGCTATAAATTTATTATATAAAACCATATTATTATTATTGAGTGCTTAGTCAGAAGACAAATTCTTTTGGTACAAATTGCTTTTTCAAAAATGTTTCTTTGCTTTTTTATTTTCCTGTTCAGTTATTTAAAATATATATTTTATAAGCAGAATCAGAAAAGTAACTTGGTGCATGGAACAATTGAGCAGGAAAGAGTCATTGTTTAACATTTAAATTAGGAAGCTGGTCCCTCTGAGGTTCCCCAAAGCCCTGAGGTCTACTGATAGTGAGAGCCGGGATCTTGAGATTTAGGGCTGTCTTGTAGGGTTTCTTTTTCATATTAACACTATTTGCAAAAAGGTCAGGTATTGATAAGAATAAAAACAAATATAGGGCTACAAGAAATAGGGATGTCAAAAAGGAGGTCGACTTGTGGTAAAAAATGACAATGAACTAATTTAGATACACTGTGTTTCTTAAGCCAGGGGGGATTGAAACAGATGGTGTTATTTTATTTTTTTCTTTTCTATTAGTTTTTATTTTTGAGATGTCTCCCCAGTTTTGTTTTAGATATAATTGACATAGCATGGTATAAATTTAAGGTGGATTATGTAACACAATGATTTAACTTGCATTCTGAAATGATCATCATAGTAAGTTTAGTTAACATCCATCTTCTCATATAGATACAAGAGGAAGAAATGTTTATTTTCCATGTGACGAGAACTCTTAGGATTTATCCTCTTGATAGCTTTTGTACATACCGTAGAGCAGTGTTAACTAGTTGCCATGTTGTATGTTACATCCCTCATCTTTTCTATGCAAACACTAAACTTTATAGAAATACTACATAGGTTTGAGAATGTGTCAAATAAGTATCACTCAGTGTTTTTTGAGGTTGCTGTCATGTAGGTTAAATAGCTTTACATACAATAACAGAGGTCTCCTATTCACAAATTTGTTATGTGGTCACAGGGTAAGAAAGTAGGCAAGACTGGGAAGGATAGAGAGCACACACAGCTTTATGGAATTCACTTAACACTTATTTGAATCTAACAGCTTCCCCTGATACTGTAAAATCTTTTTTTTTTTTTAAAGATTTATTTATTTATTTATACAAGCACTGGGTACAGTCAGAAGCGCGGGAGGGTGAGAGAATTCACCAGAGCCAGAGGGGAGAGCAGAACAGGCAGAAGGACCGAAGTACACTGCTGAGGGGAGCAGCGGGCAGCAGGAGAGGTCTGCGCACAATGTGGGACCCTCGCCTGGTGGCCCAGGATTGAACCAGCGCTGCAGAGGCTGTGGGCAGCTTTGCAACACAGCGCTCAACCGCTGCGCTACTAGGGAGACCCCTATAAAATCTCTTTAAGGGCTGAGGCAAAAATTTCTTTGGTAGTCCTCTGGAAGCCAGCACAGGCCAAGGCACCGGGAAATACTAGTGAATGACTGGAGGAATGGTGTGTATGTAAATATTATCTTCTTAAGTTTAATCAGCTCAAATATTACCTAGAAAGCCTAATATGTATTACATCATAATTTCCTTGTTATTTTTTGTTTTCCAGTTTATTATGGTTATATTTCTGATTAGTTATTTCTAAACATTCTTTTGTGATCATTGAAATAATGTTTATAAACAAAGAAACCATGGAAATATCTCAGGAAGAAAATAAAACAGCCAAGTGGGGTTTTTAAGAGTACACTTTGGCACAGACAGCTGTCCCCAGGGTAATTCGTCGGGGCGTCTGCTCTTCCACCCTGCGTTCTCTCTTTAAGAAGAGATGTAGTGCAGAGGCCCTTTGCTTTTTCCTACGACCTCTACCACATCATATTTTCCATATTTGAAATATGATGTATTTCAGTTATTCTGCCCAACCTATCTCTAGTTACTCTCAGGCATTGGATGATTTCGGCTTGTTACTTTTCCTTAGCAATAAAAGCCTCTAGTTTGTAAATTTTCAGCCAACATATTGTATAGAAATGATATTAATCTTTTTAATCAGTGAAAATATGGTAGGTAAGAATGCCTTTGTTTTAATAAGCCACCATAACAAATGTCAGTGCACGTGGATAGTTCTTCCTCTGTGAGTAGCCTGACCCCTCCTTTACTCAGAGATTGGTTGTTTTGTCTTTTTTTTTAATAATATAATAATAAGTTATTATGAATTTTGAGTTCTTTTCCTTTTATTGTTGTTATGTTTTACAAATGTTTCTTCCAACTTGTCAGTTTGCTTTTTGGCTCTGATTATGTTTTATTTGCCATACAGTTGTTTAAATTGTATGTGGTTAAATTTAACTTTTTAGCCTTTGTTTTCTAACTTTTGACTTTCTGATTATGCTCAGCAAATCCTCTTATGCCCAGAGTTATAAGAACTATGTTCCTATTATTTTATTCTAGTAACGTGTTAGCCTGCCTGCCTCCCCCCTCCTTCCTTTTCTTGTCCGCTCCTTCCTTCCCCCCTCCCTCTCTGGAGCCTTTTCTAATCTTTTATAGTCTCTTCAACATTATTTTATTATTAAAACACCATTGTTTACATCTTTCATGATCTTCTTTATAATCATGATCTTCTTTACTAAAATCTAGGCTTCCAGAAAGTGGTATTATTTTGAACTTTGGGAGACGTAAATTAAATACAAATAGATTTGAGTAAAGAGATGTTTTAGTTATAAATATGTTTGTGAACTGAAAATAACAGTAGCTTAAACAGGGCAATAATTTATTTCTCACTCATGAAACCAGAGGCAGGAAGCTGTAGGCTAGCTTGGTGGTTTTCCACACTCAGCAGGGGTTCAGACTCTTTCTTATTAGCAGTTCTGTCATCCTTGACATGGCATTTTATGATCCAGGATTGCTCCTGAAACTTCAGCCATCACCTCTGCTTTATGTCTGTAGCAAAGAAGAAGTGAAAAAAGAACATTTCCTAGAAGTCACACATAACATTTATACCTAAAAATCACTGTCCAAAATGCAGTCATCTAAAATAGGTACAGAGTTCCAGCTGGGGAAGATGAAAAGGTACTGAAGATGAATGGTGGTGATAACTGTACAACAAAGTGAATGGACCTACTGCTACTGAATTGTACTCATAAAAATGGCTAACATGGCAAATTTTATGGTAGATATATTTTACAACTGATAAACACAGTCATCTTAAAGGAGAAGGAACTGGGAAATATGTTTATTCTGGATAGCCATTGCCTTCCTGAAAATCTAAGGTTCCATTGTTAATGAGGAAAGGAGAATAAATAGTAGGGAATAACTCTCAGGCTGAGACATTTATGGTAACTGAGAATATAAAGAGCAGCAACAAAGACATACAGCAAGTCATGCATAGCCTATAGAGTGAATTGATAAGTATGAAACCATCGAAAGTGTACCTTTATCAGGGGCAAAAGAAATGTCAGAGAGTCCTGTAGTGTTTAATTCAGAATACCCCTGTCCTTCTGTTTGTTCAGTGGCATTGCCAAAGCTTGGAACCAGGCATATTTCGGGGAAGGATCTGGACCAGTAATGCTGGATGAAGTGCGGTGCACTGGGAATGAGCTTTCTATTGAGCAGTGCCCAAAGAGTTCCTGGGGAGAGCATAACTGTGGCCATAAAGAAGATGCTGGAGTGTCTTGCACCCCTCTAACAGGTAAGCATTTCACCCCATTAATCTGCCAGTTCTTGACTCTAGCACGATTTGAGTTTACCTTCCTTTCTCCTCAGTTAGATGATAATATTACTTGAGCATACAAATAAATCCCAATTAAAACTTAGAAATAACTAACACAAATTATATATTAAAATGCTGTTTCCTTATATGTAGATACTACTGAATTTTTCACTTTAATTTTCCACTTCAGTCCTGTAAAGCTAGGTCAGAAAATATGACTTTGTTACAGTATTGAGAACTCAATAATTAAAATTATATGCAGTGATCTATTTCAGATATTAGGTATTATAATTGTATCTTTAGTACATTGATCTGTAAACCTGTCTTGACTCTCAGAACGTTTTTATAGATGGTAAAAGTGTATTGATGGGAGTAGTGATTATAGCACACTATTGAGGAATCAGGGTAACCTTATTGGTTCAGTTTTCACATTATGCCAAGTTGTCTGTCAAGATATGTCATGTGTTATGGGAAGGTCATGTCTGACTGCAAGTGTGTGTGTGTGTGTGTGTGTGTTCTTACCTTCTTTAAGGAAATATAGTCAAGAGAGGTTATATTGCTCAAAAATCCAGTTTCTCTAGTACAAAGAACTTGAAGGGAAAATGAGGCTTTTAATCTTTATTTTACAAAGATCAAAAAGAAAAACTGAAGGCCTGCAAAATATTGGAATCATGCATAGTCCTATGTATGCTGTTGTTTTCATTACCAGAATAAGACATTTATATGCAATAGAAAAATAAGAATAACACCAGATTTTAAACCTGAGCATTCTATTTTCTTGGGCCTCCGTTTGTTCCTTTATCAAATGAGGAGAATCTTACTGTGATGCTATAATGGCTGAATGAGTTAATATCAGTAACAAGCCTTACAGACAGTCAAGTATTGCATTAATATGTGGTTCTGTTGCTAAGAGACCTTCATTTGCTTTGAAATAAAGATCTCAGAAAAGTAAGGCCTTTGCCTTAGATGATTTGTGCTTCACATGGCAGGTGTTTGTATTATTTTGGGTGGAAATGGTCTATGGTGAAAGATTGTGGGTGCTTTGGTGGTGGGTGGGTATGATAGCATACTTCTGAGATGGTGTGAGTCTATTCTCCTGATTCATATACCGTGTTTTAAACTAATGTTACCACAATAAAAAAGGTTTTAAAATCTATTTGTATTGTGTATCTGTTTAGAGACTATAAGATCCTCTGGAAATTATTCATTGATATCATAAGTTTTAAATTCAGAACTTTATTATCAATAAAAGAACAAAGGCAAGGTGCATACCCCATATTTTATAACTTATGAGTCCCTAAGGAATAAAATAAGTTCAATGACTTAATAGGACACTCTTTATCCAGAATAGCTATTTCTGTCTTTGTGTCTCAATAGTTTTCATTTGTACTTAAAATCTGGAACTTTTTCCAAGATTATGTTTTCTTAATTTTTAATTTAAATGACCAATATTTCTCAAACTTAAGGAGATTGAAACTAGAGGAAATTTCCCAGATACCACTTAATTCTAAGAAATCTAAATAGCGACTTTGGAATGCTATCAGAAAATAACTTTCTACTCAGGGACTATGAGTGTAAATAATAAGGAAAGACTATTTTGTTTGGACAGATACTGTTGTGTCATGTTTCAGAAACAGTGGCCTCAGGTCATTGAGTACAGCTTTAAAATAAGAGAGACCTGAACAGGGTGATATTTCTAGTCAAATGAAAATGTTGTTTTGCCTTTTTGTGAGACTTGATTTGCTTAGTCTCTGTTTTCTTCTTATCACAGATGGGGTCATCAGACTCGTAGGTGGTAAAAGCAGCCATGAGGGTCGCCTGGAGGTGTACTATAGGGGACAGTGGGGGACTGTCTGTGATGATGGCTGGAATGAGCTGAATACATATGTGGCTTGCCGACAGCTGGGATTCAAGTAAGGTCCATTGATAGGAGGCTGCTAACTGCCAGATAATATATTTAAAGTCTCATTTTGTAAATTCTTATAATTTCTGCAATACTAGAAATAGTTATTTTTAAATCATCTGTCTACTGTCTATTTCTATCTCTGTTTATCTATCATCTGTCTTTCTAACCTATCTACTCCTTTAAATATGAAATTACAACAGTAAAAAGCCAGAACTTCTTTTCTGGTGAATAACTATATCTTGCTATTTATCTCATTCATCTTTCCTACCACCACTGTTCTTAAATAATTGCTTGGAGCCATGGGTGACTTTAGGTCCCTCTGTGTCTATTCAAGTAAGACTGTATGCTCTGAATTCACTCTTTTATTCTGAGGCATCACTCCTATTGGATGCTGTTAATTCTGACATCATTGTGTATAAGATTGCAGAGAAGTCCAGTGTCAGTTGTATTGGTACTATTTTATTCGCGTTTTAAAATGTGATGATAATTTTCACTTTTGTTTGAGAAAAACAGCCCTCTGGTCATGAGATGATCTTTAGAATTTACCCTTGACCTCACTTTTAAAAGCTGAGTCTCACAGTCTGGGCCATATATTTCATGTCCCACATAATGCATTCCAGAGTAAAGACTTAAGTTGGCTGAAATAACTGAAAATGTTTCCTTGCAGCCCATGAATGCTCATTCTTTCTTGTTTTCCACATTTCTATGTCTTGCTTGAAGTAATTGTCTCATGCTTGAAAAGATTAGCAAAGTTATTTCATTTCACCTTGAGACAGAGTAAACTGCAAATATTAAGCTTTAGAAAGATACTTTCATTCTAGCTTGGTATGACCATGTTAAAACTTATTTTTTAATTTGTAATAGATAGTATAAAATATTACAGAAAGTGTGGAAAAGACAGAAAATAAAAAACTACCCATAATTTTTCCATTTTTATGCCGTTATTGCTATACCATGTGTGTCTATAAGAGCTCTCGTAGAGGACGTACAAATTTTGTATCTACTTTCTTAATTTTTTATCAATACATAGTCATACTTTCTAATGATCATATATATGTCTATTAATTATTCATACCATAATTGATTTACTATTTAGATTAGTTTACTTTTTTCTGTTATAGTGCTCTGTGGGCAATGCAGTTATTAAAATTATGAGGCCAAGGTGTGTGCCATAGCAACCAAATGAATATTGATATCATTTAGTTTACAAACAAATTTCTGAAAGAATATTGTTTTGGAATGAGAAAGAGGGTCAATTGTGGGCCTCTTTTTACAAAATTCCAAAGAAAAATGTCCTCCTGTTATCTGTTATAGAATTGATATGAATAGATGGTCTGAAGTATGCATTTTGTGGAAAATAGGTATAAGTTGAAAGTGATAGCCATATGGAATTTAGGTTAATTACTTTTCTAGCTAAAATTTGATTAGTCAGCAGAGTAGAAAATGTCTTAGAATTATTTACTGAATATATTTCTTAATTTATTAAATTTTTCATCTTGTTGAATAAATTTAATAAATAAGTGCAGAGGACAACAATTAGGAAAATTCATGCCAGACAGGACTAAGTCTTCACAGCCTTAATACAGAATAACCAAAACATTCATCAAGGGGAATGGTTGACACAAACTTTATGAATTAATTACATAGACCCTTAGAGTGACTTGGTTAACCATTTTTTTCTTTTTCAGATGTTTCCTATTTCTACAGTATGTATATTTTTCATATTACTTGTAGGTTTTTTGGTAGTGTTTTGTTGCAAATGAAGCCAATTAGAACACAAGTGTAATTTATTCAAATTTTAAAAATCAAATTTATATAACCTATGAAAAGCTAAGAATATTGTCATTCTGATTTTAATGGGCTGAAATCCAAATTTCGTCATGGTTTGGGTTTGGTACCTAAAGAATCACTGAAGTAATACACAGTTTTTATTTTGAAGGAGAAAGAGGAGCCCAGAGAGGCTTAGAAAAGCTGATGAAGGGCCTCCCCGGTGGCGCAGCTCTTGAACGCTGGGTTGCGAAGCTGCCCGCAGCCTCTGCAGCGCCGGTTCGATCCCCGGCTGCTCCCCGGCCACCGGAGGAGCATGGTGCGCAGACCTCTCCTGCCGCCCACTGCTCCCCTCAGCAGTGTACTTCGGTCCTTCTGCCTGCTCTGTTCCCCGCTCTGGCTCTGGTGAATTCTCTCACCCTCCCGCACTTCTGACTGTACCCAGTGCTTGTATAAATAAATAAATAAATCTTAAAAAAAAAAAAGAAAAGCTGATGAAATCAAATGAGCACAGGTGATTCCTCAGAGGCCTATACAAGGCAAATGTTCTCACTTTCTGGTTCACCAAGGAAATTTCTCACTTTCTTCCATTTCTTTCCCCCCCCCCCCCCACTTTCTTCCATGTCATTGGTCAGGTATTTGAGGTTTAATCTCTTTGCATTCTCTCCGTTTGCTGAGTTAAATTGCAGAACGAGCACAAGCACAGGTGGGGAAAAGGATTCGCTACCCACTGAATCAAACAAAAACTGTTTAGATGATCAAAAGCTGTGATGAAGTAGTCCCTGGTTCTAGAACACAGTCCTCAAGATAGGAGAAGGAACAAATACTTGTCCTCTGAAGTCATGGCACCCAGTTAGCTTGTTTGTCTTATGTGTGGTGGTTCCTTGAAACAAGTCAGCAGCTCTGTGTATAACGGGTGCTTTGTTACCCCAGATATGGCAAACAAGCCTCTGCAAACCACTTTGAAGAAAGCACGGGGCCCATATGGTTGGATGATGTCAGCTGCTCGGGAAAAGAAGCTAGCTTCCTTCAGTGTTCCCGGAGACCGTGGGGAAGGCATGACTGCAGCCATCGTGAAGATGTGGGCCTCGCCTGCTTCCCCGGCAGCGATGGACACAGACTCTCTCAGGGTAGGACAAGCCACAACTTTCAAGTACCCCTAACACAATAGACACTGCGCCGCTACCCACTGATCCAGAAAATAAAGCATTTCTCTGCTTTGACTCTTCTTAGTCTATTTCCTGGAATGTTCTAATTTTCCATAGTTTTTCCATAATTCAGAGACAAACAAGCTTTTGAGTTCTTCTGCCAGTATTATAAAATTTCTTTTTTTTTAAAGATTTATTTATTTATGCATACAAGAACTGGGGTATAGGCCAGAGGTGTGGGGGAGTGAGAGGATTCACCAGAGACAGAGTGGGGAACAGAACAGGTTGATTGACTGAAATACACTGCTGAAGGAAGCAGTGGGCGCGGCAGGAGAGGTCTGCGCGCCATGTGGGCCTCTCATGGGTGGCCGGGGATTTAACTGGCGCTGCAGAGGCTGCGTGCAGCTTTGTAGCCCAGCGCTCAACCGCTGCGCCACCAGGGGAGTTCTGAATCCCACAGTGTTAACCGTATAGTATACTTAAGTTGTCAGTGTATATGGTTGAATCCTCATTGTATGCTAAGCCTTGAGGTCCTGGTGACTCACTGCTCCAATCTAGCATCAAGCCAAATAGAAATACAGCAGTTCACTCCATCAGCATAGCGCATTTTTCCACTTTCATTTCTTTTTATTTGTTCTCTTCCCTTGTTGCCTTCTTTTGGAGGACTTATTATTCACTCAGGATTATGTGGTGGGTGAGTGCATGTGCTTGGGGAATGAGTAATTGTTTGCTAGAGATCGATGCTGTCCTTCTAAGATAGCAGGTATTTGGATCCTGGAGTGCTCTATTCATAGGCAAGCTCTGTCAGTACTCCAGGTGATGAAATACTCTAACTAGTGTGTAGAAGACTCTAATCTGAGTTTTCTGAAGGCCGGTGTGGTTAAACATATCCATGGATAAGTCAGCTCATATTTTCAATTTCCCTGAAACTCTTTTCAATTCTAGGATTCCAGATATATTTTGTAAAAATTTGAAAAGCTGAGGGTGATAATTTTAATAAAATATGTGATCATCATTATGGGTCTCTTTGGTCCTAATTTAGGCAATGTCTATTCATTTGTCTGGAGAACATTATGCCTGAGCCAAATATTCTTCTGGAATGGGATCATATGTCCATTTATTCATCCTGACAGATGATTACTTTCCCATGTGTCAAACAGGACTGAAATGTAAAAGAGGAGTTCAGGAAAGGAGATTGTAGAATAATGATATAAACAATAGTATTTTAAAAACAATTGAGTTTTTTTACATCTTTGGCACTAGAATGATGATTCACTGGATTATTAATGTTTTCAAATTTGAAGGGTGTTCTGTGAATCTTAATTTTAAATGTGAATGAAACTGTCCCTGAAATTAGAAAGACTTTATTCTATACTTGGGACAGTGATGAGTGAAATTCTCAAAAGCACTGTTTTGGGTCAATAAAAATACAATGGTGAAGGAAGCTCTATGGGGACTACTCCTGCGGGGGTGAGAGGAAGAAAATACTGTTTAAAAATGAATAGTGATGTAAAAAAATTTTAAAAATTAATAAAAAATAAATAAAATTATGAAAAAAAGAATGCAATTAAACAGCTTCACTAGTGGCACAAGGGGTTAAAAAAGCACAGCACAGGCCTCCCGGTGGCGCAGCGGTTGAGTGCTGGGTTGCAGCCTCTGCAGTGCCGGTTCGATCCCCGGCTGCTCCCCGGCCACCAGAGGAGGGTCCCACATGGCGCGCTAGACCTCTCCTGCCACCCGCTGCTCCCCTCAGCAGTGTACTTCAGTCCTTCTGCCTGTTCTGCATCCTGCTCTGACTCTGGTGAATTCTCTCACCCTCCCGCGCTTCTGACTATACCCAGTGCTTGTATAAATAAATAAATAAATAAATCTTTAAAAAAAAAAACAAAAACATTAAAAAAAAAAAAAAAAAGCACAGCACTATGAAGTTATCCGCAGCCACCACAGCAAGGGTTCGATCCCCCGCTAGAGAGCAATCCACATGCCACAGCAGACCTCTTCTGTCTCACCCACTTCTCCCCTCAGCTGTGTATTTCAATCTGCCTGTTCTGTTCTCCACTCTGTCCCTGGCGAATTCTCTCTCCTCCTGCATCTCTGGCCTGCATCCCAGTTCTTGTATGCATAAATAAATAAATCTTAAAAAAAAAGAATACAATTAAAGCCTATGTGGATTGGGAGAAATCTGTAAGATAGTAAGTAGACTTCTCATTTTAATATTGTATTAATTCTAAAGTTCAGAGTATTAAATCCTAGCAGAGATTTCTTTATAATGAAGTTGTCTTTTAGTTAATTTTACAGCATAAACTTTGACTTCTGATATTTATACTAAGTTTTCTCTTTCTTCCAGAAAAATATTATTTTCTGTAAGTATTAGTGTAAGAAAATTAAAATATTATTATTAGTAGTAGTAGTATTATTATTAGTATTAGTGTAGGAAAATTAAAATAAAGCTCTACTGGAAATCAAAGATTGAGCTATTTTAATTAAAGATAGTCTATACCCATAAAACTTTTTAGTTTCTCAGGTATTTATTTAAGATTTTAGAAATAAAATGTGCATATTATTACTGCCATTACAAAAAGGGGAGGTGGCATTGATAGAATGACCTTTGTCACCCAATTTCTCCTCAGAGGTATTCAAAATCCAGTGATTCTGTTAAATGAATGACTAAAATTAGGGTTGGACATATTGTATGCATTATTTCATCTGTTTGAGGTTTTTTTTTTTTTGAGGATCATTTCTGGACTGTACTTCTCTTAAAAGGAACCCCTAAATATCAGGTACATTAATTAAAAATGTAAATTTTCAAAGGTACTGGGTTTTATGACATAACTAAAGCCCCACGTTTTCTGGCTGGTAGTAAGCATTGCATAGAGCAGGCACTCAATAAGCATTTGTAGATTTTTACTTTTTTGTATTGATTCTACCATACTGTCTGTCTCACAAAGTGGGTATTATCAGAGATAGAAACTACCGAGTCAACAAAGGATGGAGAAATAAAAGTGGATTACAGGAATCAAAGTAGGATGTCAGCATCCTGCCAGTGATACTGTCTTCTAGTTAACGCGTTGATTTGGTAGCTTCATATGTTGGTTTAAACATAGTAGGTGATAGCTGCTTAGTCTACCTCATTGGTTCTGGTAATTTCCCTAGCTTCATTGCAGTCCCTCAATAAATCCTATGGGCCCCGAAGCTGGAGACCTTCTCGTAATTAGGTAATCAAAGTATGTACATCAGTTTGTTTAGGCTGTTATAACAAAGTACTACGCTTTGGTAGCTTAAAAACAGATATTTACTCTCTCACAGCTGTGAGGCTAGGAGTCCAGAATCAGGATGCCCCAAGGTGGTCCTTTTGAGGGCTTTGAGGGAAGAATTTGTTTCAAGTCTCCCTTCTTGGCTGGGAGATGGCCGTCTTCTCCCTATACGTCCCTTCACATTGTCTTTCTTCCATGTATCTCCTGTATCTCTTTGTTCACCTTTTCCCTTTTCATTTGGACATCAGTCGTTTTGGATTATGACCCACTCTAATGACCTTACAGTTCAAACTGCGACAGTATGTGAGCCACCTGAAGGCTCTCAACCAGATGACACTCTGTGTCATAGAGGTGTGTGAAATGCTGCAGATCACTTCTTTTGCATGATTTCTGTAAACCTCAGTTTGCTACAGAACAGTTTCTCAACTTTTTACATCTTAGCAACTTTTATGACTTAAGCTCTTCCTTTGTAACGGAGAGTAAATAGGAAGCCTGAGATGGAAATTGTCTCTGTTAATTGTCTTCCTGTTTCCCCCACTCCTTTGGCATTATATATATCCATGTATGCCAAGGGGGTATCCATTTATCCCTTCCTAGAAATCGTAACTGGGGGTATACATTTCTAGCTGTGTCCAAGGATAAATGAAAAGACATGAAACAAAGCAACCCTAAGTTTATCTCTTTTGCTATGTAGATGTTAGTGGTAATAAAATCATTCCCTGTTTTACTATTCATTCATTCATTCATTTGTTCATTCATTCAGCCAGTGATTCAGTCTGGGAACAACCAGTTATTGCATGTCCTCCCTGTGTCAGGCACTGTTTCCAATGCTGCCAGTGCAAAGTTGAGCAATGTGAATGAACTTTCAAAGAGATTGCAAAATTGGATACAGTTTTTTTAGTGACATTCTCTCTCTGTCACTGGCCAACTGATTTTAAAAACAAATTGTATTTTTCAGAGTCTCTCATGCTTTAGTAATGCTTGTTTTGCCTGCTTCAGTTTGCTTGTTTTGGCTTTTCTCGTACTTGTGAATCACGATTTAGGTTTTCCTATCAGACTGATGGATGGAGAAAATAAGAAAGAAGGACGAGTGGAGGTTTTTATCAATGGCCAGTGGGGAACAATTTGTGATGATGGGTGGACTGATAAAGATGCAGCCGTAATCTGTCGACAGCTTGGCTACAAGTAAGGCAAACCTGATTATTTGGGATGGTTACTTGATGAATATTTCTTTTGTCTTTTTCAGACTTGTCCTAATGAATTTTTCTTACCTGAAATTAACTACATCATCCCATTGAAAATACTGACAGCGTGCTGATTTCATTCAGAATTATAAATAATACTAAATAGCATCTATTTACATTTTTCTTTCTTCTCTCAAGGAATGTACATGTCTCAAAGTAACGAAGTCTTTATTTAATGTTGAAATAGTTTAATATTCTTGACTGTTCATAATACTGCTTCTGTCAGCCAAATGTATTAGCTTTTTCTTTGTGGTTTAGGTGGTTCTTTATTCACAGTGGTTATGCTCTATAAAGTCACTCTGAACACTGAATTAGCAAGTGGTGAGCCATTGCTGCTGGAACTGAGGTCGAACCAAGGAATCTTTTTCTCTCCTCTTTTAGTTCTCATACCTGCAAACAGTTGTCCTTTTGCAGTAAAGTTTGTGTCATTTATTTATTTATTTGCATTGTTGTTGATAATCTCACTGTTGCCTTATGGAGACAATCTACATGTTAGATAATCTTCATTGGAGCATGAGTAATAGTATAAAAAATGTAGCCCTAACTAGCTGGGAAAGGATACTTGTTTACAATTTGAGAGCTGAAATGAAAAAACCTATCATCTCCTTGTGAGACCTCAGCTAGGTACCTCAAATTTTTTGAGGCTGTGTGTATGTCTGCACACAATTTCTGTAAGTATTGATTTGGGAACTTCAAATACATAGCCCATATTACAGTTTAGAGAGTTATCAAATTTTAGCTAATAGTGGTTTGCATTTTAAAATATGTCCTGAATTATCTGTTTGTATACATAAATATGGATAAATTGTTATTCCTATGCAGAATATCATTTTTATTTTTAAAAGTATTTTTATCTTAATAGTAGTGCAAATGTTTTTTCTAAAGCTTTCTTTTAGATTATTCAGGTACTCTATACTTCAATTTGCTGTTTAGTTTTGGACCTCATGCCACTCCAGTTGCCCTGTTGTCAGTAGGTCCACTGTTTATAATAGAAATTTTCAGCTTTCAAAATATGGGCCAGTAGGAAGAGGCCACATTAAATGACTCAGTGAAGTCAGTCAATGATTTAAGTTTTCTTTGCTCAATACATGTTTAACACGCCACCCTCCATTTGTAAAGAAAATAAAATATTTTTACATTTTCAGTGAAATGCCTTATCCAAAAATCAGCCATCAGAGTATATTCCTGTTTGAAATGGATTTTGGCCATACTTTTATTTTTTGGTATGGATGATCCAGGAATTCTAGTATTACCATTGTAAATATAAAGGGAAATATCAAATTTGATGCTTGAATTGTATGGTAAATCATGTTTAAGGGGAAAAAGAGTTCCTAAGCATATTTGTGAAATTTAATTTCTACATTTTTTATTGCTTCTGATTTATCTTTATTTAACCCACTTTACATTTTATCTTAGATGATGAGCTTAGTTTGTAGCAATTTTCAATAATATTCATTAATATTCCTGTAACAGTTATCAAGAAGAGCATCCAAATATCTCACATTGTAATTGCTTTTTGAATAGTCTTTTAAGAAGTGAATCAGTAAGTTAAAGTTATTACAGCAAATTGGATAATTATCTTCTAGTGCACAATCTGTAATTTGCCATCAAATAGTTTTTAAATGAGAAGCATTTAAATATTTGATCAATTTAAATATATTTGAATGTTTTATTATAATTTTCCACTAATGGGAAATGCGATTTCATAAAAGAACATGTAGTCTGAAGAGGTGGGAAACAATACCCCTAAATCATTAAGTGTTGTAAACCAACATATCTCAAGTAAAAAAAAGAACATCTATGTAATTTATAAATAGACATGAGACTAGGGTAGGGGATCTTTCCCCCATATATACTCTATACCAACAAATATATTTGTAGATATCTATTGCAAATATATTCATCAACTTTAAAGTTTTATCTTTTCACTCTCCTTAGGGTGGTTTTCAGTAAAGTAGCATTTTTAATTTAAATTTTTGTTGAAATTAATAATGTTTTAATTAAGCTATACCATCTTTGTCTTGATTTGTTATCTTAAATATTTATTAATAAATCTTTCCTTCACCTGAGGTTATAAGAAAAAACTTCCTGTGATTCAAACATTAACATTTTTATCTTTCATAATAATGTAACTAATTGTTCAAGTATTGAGTTTTGAATGTTAGTTTGAAATCTTTCATGAAAGCTTTAGTGTGAATTTTTTGAAAAGTGTTGTGTTATTAAAAAAAAGTACCATACCAAAAATAATCCTGCCATCTATTCATGATTCCTGGTTTTCTCTTTCTATGTTCAAAATTATACTTTCATACTTCTAAGTGAGGCAAAAAATTTGTTCTTAGTTCCCTAGGTAATTATTTATTAATATCTTAATTTTCTTGGAAATATACCAATTTGAAGAGAGCATTATTCTCTGTAAGGGGAAATAAGATTTTGAGATTTCCTCCTTAAAACTAAGGTTTAAGACTGTCAGGATTCTTGGATGTGCCAATAAATGTGACTTGCTGAACAGAAGCTAAATTAAAGGCAACTGATATGATACAAAAGCTCTGGGGTATGATAACAAAGAGGGTGTAGTTACACCTCTCTGAAGCTTTTCTTTTTTTTTGACAGAATCAAGAAATAAATGATCTTTTAGTACGTATAGATGCTGATTTTAATATATAAAAGTTACAACATACAATTGAATGAGAGTATATGTTATGATTTATTCACATGTGTGATTGATTCCCCACACCCTCAAGAATGCTGTGTTTCCAGGGGTCCTGCCAGAGCAAGAACCATGGCTTATTTTGGGGAAGGAAAAGGACCCATACACGTGGATAATGTGAAATGCACAGGAAATGAGAGGTCCCTGGCCGACTGTATCAAACAAGATATTGGAAGACACAACTGCCGTCACAGTGAAGATGCAGGAGTTATTTGTGACTATGTAAGCAAGAAAGCATCCGCTAACAGTCATAAAGGTAGGTGTTCTTTTGCGGCCCTAAACAGGGAAATACCTCCAATGCACAGTTTGTTTCTGTAAACAATACTACTGTAACAAAGAGTTCTCTTCCACAAGAATTACAGAATTCCTTTTCCTTGTGCTAGTATTTAGAATCAGGGGTTCTGGATGAACTTGCATGAGTGGGCTTACAGGGATAGCAGGGTTCAGGGGAAGAGGTAGATTTAAAAGGCTTTGTAATCTCTGGGGTGACCCCTTTTCTATAGTCTCAGTCAATTTTAATATAAAACAAAATTTGACAATTTGATGTCCTTGAAAATTCATTCTTTCATGAAAAGGAGGAAAGAAAAAGTCACAAAAAGGCACTTCTAGTCTTAATAATATTTTAAACAACAGGGAAATTCTTTTTTTTTTTAAAGATTTATTTATTTATACAAGAACTGGGATATAAGCCAGAGGCACAGAAGGGTGAGAGGATTCACCAGAGACAGTGTGGGGAACAGAAAAGGCTGACAGACCAAAAACATTGCTGAGGGAAGCAGCGGGTGAGATAGGAGAGGTCTGCTGTGCCATGTGGGTAGCTCCCTGGCTGGCCGGGAATTGAACCTGCGCTGCAGAGGCTGCGGACAAACTTCATTGTGCTGCATTCAGCCCACTGCGCCACCAGGGAAGCCCTGGGAAATTCTTTTTAATTAATCGCAAAAGTGACAATTATCTTTTGAACATTTTATCCTTTGAAATTTAAAAGCGTATGGAAAATGAGAAGTAATTTCGTAGTATACTTAGTATAATATAGTTTGTAAAATATAGGATAATAGATGTCTTGTAGGTAAGTAAATAGAAGAGTTCTTGAAAGCTCTGAGTTCTTCATGATATCAGTACTGTTTTAAATAAATGAGGAGAAAAACTAGCTATTTTGGAGAAAAGTGTGGTTATATTTTACAAAAGGAACAATCACCTGTTTGTGTGAATTATAAGTTCACAATTTTGGTACACAGGATTTTCTTACAAGCACATGCATTTACACTGGTGCATGCACTTTTTATAACATCTTTTAACAACTTTTAATAGAAATAATGCAAACAAATAAATTTGATGTTATTATTTTTCATTTTTGAGGGGCTTTTGTGTATGTAGAACACTTTATAATCCTCATGTTTTGTCTATGTTGTTCTATTATATATGTTGTGGATTTATTATCTGTGTTATTTAACATAAATTATTATATTTAGTTAGAAGGATACTTTGCTAAACCAATTTTTCCTAAATATTGATTACAACTTAATTTGTATAAATTGAATAAATTTCAATAATTTAAACTGCAGTTACAAATTGAATGTAAAGTTCTTTGAAGTATGTCAACTTAAGCAGTAGAAAAACATAAAACTTCAATAATTATAAAATGTTTTATTTATTTCCTCATTGTTTGCACATTTATTGTTATGCATTTCTACAGCTGTAATAAGACTTATTCTGATATATTTCCATGGTTTTAGTGCTACCATTCCTCAAGTTAAAACATTTCATTTTAGACCAGCTAGATGACAGCATCTGACTTGCTTGCCTTTTGTTGAGGCTTAATAACTGCTTACTTCATAAAGTAATTAGAATTCAAGCCTTTGGTTATTGGTCATGTGCTGAGATCCTTTCATAAATGAAATTAATTCTGTTCTTTAATCTTGTTATGACAGTGTATTTTATGGCTTGAAATAGACTTTACTTTCTTGCAATCTGGTGCTACTCCCCAGAATGATGTAAGCTTTAAGTTCGGCTTGCTTAGTATTACATCATCCCTTGTCTTGGCATTATGTACATTGACCTGACTTGGAACATTATTGAAAACTTGTGCTTTATAATTTTCTATAATTTGTAGTGTCATCTAGAGGACTCATGTCCTAACAAATGAGGCTCAAGTTTGACAATGTACCTCTGAGGTCATTTGGCAAATTAATCAGCTTGCTACACAATGCAAATCCTCTTTCTCCATCAAGAAATAACAAGTGCTGATTCCCTACTGGGCTCTCGGCTACCTGATTGTTATCAGAGACCATGAGTACTGGCAAGGTTTCATATTCTTGTCACAAATCCACCCCCCCTTCTGTCTTTTCACAGAGAAAAAACCAGTGCATATCTACACTTATTTACATCTTCTTAATAAATGAAACAAAATATCCCAATAAAATGCCACTTCCTTATGATTTTGGAAAACAGTCTATACCTTGTTATATTTATCCTTCTTTTGTACACCAGCTTTCTTGTATTTTTTAAATTTGACTCTTCTTTTTTATGCTCTGTTAACAGAAGTCTGTTACCTTAGGGAAATGACTCTATGCCCTTAAATACAGTTTGATGCTTACGTTGGCTTTGCACATGCTTTCTGTAGATTAATATTAAATATGAATTCATGTAACTTCAGATCAGAAGTCCATCCTGTTAACTGACTTTGCTCCGCTGAGTTACTGTTGTATACATAGCTATAGTATGTATAGCTATATATGTAGCTGTAGTATTTGAAAAGCAAGTAATTTAAACTATCGCTGCATTGGCAGATCTCTCATCTTGTTTAATGCTACTGAACTCCAAGACGACCTCTGTAATCAGTCAGGAGGGGACAAGGTGTAGGCACTTACGGAATGATATGCTGGACAGGGTCAAGCCATCTTGCAACCTGTGGAGCCCCTTCAGAACTGAATGTGGGAAACCCCATAAACTTCCCTGCCGGCTTGCACATTTTATTACCTTGATTAAATGAGAAAACAACTTTTTATTTTTATTAGAGGAAAAAATATCCTATAATTTGAAGAGAAAAGGCATCTTAAAATAGAGGAGGAAGCCACGGGGGTGGGGGGGAGGTTGTCACTTGTATCTTTATCCCTCTCTCAGCGGTATGACAGTTTAGTTAATGAGCTATTTCTGCTTCAGAGGCCCTTTCCTCGGTTTGTGGTTTGAGATTACTGCACCGGCGGCAGAAGCGGATCATTGGTGGAAAAAATTCCTTAAGGTAAAGGGTTCTTCAGAAGAGAGAGTCCATGTTACAGAATTATTTGATAGTCATACAGGTTTAAAAAGTGGGGATTTTCTACTGTTGCTTAAGGGATTTGTTTTATTCCCATTGTTCTCTAATAAAATATATTTTGGAGTTAAATACAGATTACATTGATAAATTCACTGTTCTTTGACCTTCACTCACTCACTTTTTATAGACTTGGTTCTTCTATTATCACCCCTGATTTATATGACAGATGTGTTGCAGAGAAGCTATATGGAGAAACAAAATAGCTGACAGAAGACTTGAAAAAAAATGTGTCACTACAAGGATTCACTTAGTTTAGAATATGTTTGTTTCAGACTTGACTCAATAGAATTTTATTGTTTCTTTAATTTTCTATTGGAAAACCTGCACTCTGCTTACTAAATACTTCAAGCTGCTTCAGTGAGGTGGGAGAAGGAGAGAAAACACACTTGCAATCATGAAATATAAAGAAACCTCAACTTCCTTCTAAGAATGTCTAAGAGAGGGGGTGCTTATAAATGCCTGTATGTAATTCTCCAGCATGTCGGCTCCAGGGTGGAGGGGCACCACTTTGCACCTAGGAGGGGTTTTGTGTCCTGGGGTCTCTTTTATGCTCCTATTTCTTCACCCAGAAGCCTCTGTGTCATTATTTTAATGAGTGCTTGTCTTGGCTTTTCTGTCTTTAATGACGTGGCTGTGTGCCGCCCTTTCTTCCCAGGGGTGGCTGGCCTTGGCAAGTGTCCCTCCGGCTGAAGTCTTCCCATGGAGATGGCAGGCTCCTTTGTGGGGCCACGCTTCTGAGCAGCTGCTGGGTCCTCACAGCGGCGCACTGCTTCAAGAGGTATGTGCCCATTCTTCCAGACAACTCTGCTTGCCTTTCACTTGCCAGTTCTAAAACATTTTTTCTATATTTATGTTTTTAATCTGATTACTGTTTATTTTTGTATATGGTATATGGCACAAGGAAGGGATCAAATTACTTTTATTTATGAATAGTTTCCCCAGCACTTTTATTGAGCATTCCATGTTTATAAAACACCACTGATTTATGTCAACTCTGTCATATGCCAGGTTCTCATGTATCTCTGTTCACTTCCTCTTATCTAATCTTTCATGTTCATGGTGCAACAGAAGATATACGCCTATGTTTTACATAGCCTTTGACATTTCTGGCATAATAATGGAGTTTGAGGGTTCACCTCTAGAGCAGCGGGTTTAATGCATTTGTGTATGACAGGAGTGATAGACAATGAAGATTATATAACAACAAAAAATTGCTCTGCTCCTAGTGTTCCTAAGGATGTTAGATCACTGGAGATACAGTGCAGAACCAAACATGAACCATGCTATCGTGAGAATTTTCTGTAGCTACAAGATCCCAGAGGAGAGAAACATTGATATTGTAAATATGATCTGATGAAGGAAGAAAAAAAGGACTTAGGGCACTGTGTTTAACTTGTGGACTTTTCACCACAATATTAGATGCATTTAGCTTTGTTAAGAATCCAGTCTCTGGGTCTCTATTCCATATCTACTGAAATCTGTGGAGGTGAGACCCAGGAGTCTGCATTCTTGCCAAGTCTCTCAGAAGAATCTGATGTACATTAAAAGTGCAGATCCATTTACTGAGTGGAGAGAATAAAAATGTGGTCTGGATGTTTGAAGAATGATGATGGAGAAGAATGCAGTAGGTTTGATGGGATACTTATCCTTGGCCTATTCAACATGTTAATCATTTCATTGGAAAAGGACACTGATGGCAAGTTCATCACATTTTTGGATCCCTGGGGATCGGGAAGACAAATAATGTGTTGGAAAATAGAATCCACAATGACCAAAAATCTCGATGGGATGATTCTGGCAAGTAACATGGAATAAGGACGATGTAAAATGCCGCCTTCAGTTCCAGGAAATATGGCTTAAATGCAGCACAAGTGAAAAAGACCTCACAGGCAGTGGCATCCTTCCACTTAATATGTGATTGCCCATGAAGTTAGCAAGTGTTGGGCAGCACTGACAGAGCACTGTTCAGACAAAGCAGCGAAGAGCCTGGCTATTCTGTTTTCTTGTGCTTAGCTATTGTTGGGGACAAAAAGCACTGTCACTCTCCAGCAGAGAGAACTGTGCTGCATTCTGGGTGTGGCAGGAATGTGATACACTCAGGAAGACAAGCAGCCAGGTGACAGCATGTAGAGTCCCACTGGTGCATTATCTGTGGCTTCAGTATCATGGGTGTTAATGAAAGATGGAGTGATTTTCATTTTAACACAAGGAAGAGGTTCTTTGTGTTATGTTTATTTCTTTAACTGTAGGGCTGTAGGGCTGCTGAAAGGTGAAATGGCCTGTGTGTGGGAGGAAGAATGAGTTCTGTCGTGAGGTCTGTTCAGAGAGACTGGATTCTTTTATAAGTGGAGCTGGGGGTAGAGGATGTCTGATTTAGAGCAGAGAGGGGAAAATGGAGCCAGCTGTACTGGAGGGATGGCAGCTATCCACTAGAGTAGCGATCTGGAATTTGTGTAGTAGACTCACTAGAGAGAAGCAGGAAGGTCTGGGATGTGAGGGGAGTGAGTGTCTCTTCATTTACTAGGTGGTAGGAACCCATTAAATGATATTGAGGCTTGAAATCTAATCAAAGAGTAGTTTTAGGAGATGAGCCATTTGGGGATGTATGGGATAGGTAGAGAGGATCAATTCCATTGATTAATCTAGGGGGTCTGTGAATGAACTTTAAGCTATATGAGCAGATCTTTGGTAATATGCTTATAGCCTTTTTACTGCGATGACTGAAATTGGTCTTGTTTTTCAGTGATTAAGTTCCAGTATGGTAGGAACTGGAGGGGGATAGGTTATAAGGTAGAAAGAAAAGGAGGGTGAGCAGGCAGGGGTTCTATGATAGGAATCAATGCTTGGTGCTGTGTAAGAGGAAGGGTAGACCTGCCCTCCCAACCAGGGTTACAATTCTAGCTCCTCCGATGGTTTATTGTTTAACTTGCGGAAATTACTGAACGTCTAGGGGCCTCAGTTTTTCCATTTGTAAGATGAAGGCAGTGACGTTCCACAGAGAAGTATGTGTAAGTAGTTGATAAAGTATAAAATTCCAAACAGACTTGGGCTGTTGGAGTTGAAAAACATGGACTTAAAGATTATTATTGGCAAAAATCAGGAACTCAAGATGATTTTATTCTACTCACCTATGGAGAAGACTGAGGTAAGAAACTGCAGAGATCTGGCCCTGGGGCTCAGAGCTTAGGCGATTAATTCACTTGGTCCTTAAAGATTGTTCTCATCATATTTAAGACTCTATCTTTCAAGTCTCTGCTTAAATTTATAGTCTGAAAAGTTCAAGGCTTAAAGGTATTAAAGGAGGGAGATTGCCACAAATTCCACATTCCACTTGAAGTAGAAAACTTTGATCAAACTGTTGGGTTCTCTGAAAGGTCTTACTTTTTTTCTTTTTTCTTTTTTTTTTTTTTTTACTTAGATGTTGGATTTATTTGTTTACATGTCATTATTCCTCTTTTGGCCTGGTCCTGCTAGATTATTGCTTAAAATCAGTAATCAACTCCTTTGTGTTTATAAGCCAAGTGTCTAGTATATTACTTGGCACAGAGTCGATAATCTTAAATGATTGTTGCAGGATGAAAGTGGGGCTCAGTTGCCAGAGAATGGATGTACTTAAGGGCATTGGATTCTTTAGAGGATGGTGGCATTTTCACCTGAGGTCAACAGATAACTTTTTCCATATGTCATTTTGGATTTCTTCCCATTATCTGCACAGCATAAGGGAAAGGCAATTGATTAAAAAGCAGAGGAGCAGATTATGATATGCAGCATTTTGGTGTGCTTTGGGTTGAATGCCAAACTCTACTAATGTGAAAAGGGTGAAGGTTGTTTTGTAAATGTGTTGTGCATCTATTTGACTTGGTCTGTAACCTATATCCAGTTTCATAGACTTCCTGTTTTGATGTGCCTCACGATTCTATAACTCACATCTTTATTGCAGTAAGGCTTTTGAAATGCATAGGGACAGTTACCCCTGATTAGAACAAGCACCCGGTTTTTTTTTTTTTCTAGGTTCAGGGACTTTGGTTTAAAACAACTGTCCCTTAATCATCAGAGACTCGGAAGTTTGCAAAAATAGATTTCCCCTGGAATTGTTGAGATTGTAGTGCAGAAGCATTGTAGTCAGACTCTGAAAGGCTACCTGCCTTTTGGATGTCATGGGAGCCTAATTTAGAGTCTATTGGTTGGGGACCTCGATGTCATTTTTGGTGGGAAATCTGTTTGTATCTCTGCTACTTAGGCATGTACAATGTATGTTCACTGGACCTTCATTGGTGCCTAATACTTGCAGTGATGATAAAGGCCAGTGCTTTTGAGCCGTCACTGCTGAATAACAATAGATTGCTATTGCCATCTGTGTTATTTTCTTCTATGGGATGACAGTTTTTTGCTTGTTTGTTTTATCTTCATTGAATAGTTATCTTTATATTGGGTTGTCAGAAAAGTCATGACTCATTTTTGTGTAGAAAACATAGAAAAAATATGGCATGTGTTTTCTGACAACCCAATATAACCCCCCTATCAGAATAATCTAGAAATGATGACGTTGGCAGGAGAAACCAGGATGCAGTTAACTTCAGATCCAGATCCACCATCCTCAGCTACCCTCACTTCATACGCAGCCTTCTGTACATGATAAGGGAATTTGACTGGAAGGCTGACAGACCGCTAGTGTACAACTCTAATTTGCCCATAGTTTTCACATACTATGAGGTTCAGAGTAATCTGCTGCCATTCTAATACAGATAACCAAGGCAGTTGTGAATCACCATTTAAAGGTCTTCAATTTTATTTTTTATATTTTTCCCAGTGTTAATACAATGCAGACTTTGGAGTGCAGCATCCTGTTGGCAGTTTAAAGTGGAAACTTAAATAAATCAAGTTTTTTTTTGTACTTGCCCTGTGAATCTTGCACAATAAATTTCTGGCTTTTGCTATTTTCTATTCTAAATGACAACCACAGGTACCAAAAAATGACCCTCTCCCTATGGTGGTGCAGCAGTATAATTGAGAGAAAAATTCCTGAGAATTAAACTAATTCCTTTTAATTGCTTATTCTGATAACAGATACCATTTTGGAGGAAAAAATGTACTTGCAACAAGTACTGCCTTATTTTTGTAAATCTACTGCAAATTGAATTTGTTCATGAATATAGCTTTACCCGATTTTATCTTTTTGATTTTTTGCCTAGAAATGCCAGAGTAGCAGAAAATTGTCAAAGATTATAGCTCTGAGTTAGAAATGTTTAGGTCTTCATAGTTAGATGAGCCACAGACTAGTGGCATTTGCTTTTGAAGAATACAGTATTTGAGGTGCTTAACATATACTCTGTCATGACCTAGTGTGTGGTAGAGTTCATAAGAATATGGTCTTGAATGGGGAATAAAAACAAACAAAAAAAAAGAATATGGTCTTGTTGATATATATAAACCTATCAGTCATGCCCAAAGCAGTTCTTAATTCCGTGTGTGTGTGTGTGTGTGTGTGTGTGTGTGTGTGTATGTGTGTAGACACTGCAAGCTTCTACAGGGAAGGTCATTTTTTCCTAAGCAAATAGAACCATTTATATAAGCTGCTTCAGTCAACCACTTAGAAGCAACTCAGTCAGGCCCTTTTTGAATTTCATCCAAACAACAGAGAAAAACAGATTCTAGCAGTAGCAGATGTGCACAAGCTGGTGTACAACATTATCTTTTTTTTTTTCCTAAAGATTTATTTATTTATATAAGCACTGGGTACAGTCAGAAGCGTGGGAGGGTGACACAATTCACCAGAGCCAGAGCAGGGAGCAAAACAGACAGACTGACGAAATACACTGCTGAGGGGAGCAGCGGGCGCGGGAGGAAAGGTCTACCATGCCATGTGAGGTGACAGGAGAATATTTCCAATACTTTGACTGGAAACTAATCGAGTCTTGTGTCAGATGCTCTTCAGGTTCCAGGTATAAAGTCTATTTTAAGAATAACTGGAGTGAGAGGTATGTGGGAACCACTGCTTAGGTTTCGCTGAGACAACTTTAAAAAAGAGGTGTTACTAAAGACCTTTCTTTTGAAGAGAATGCTGCTCTTTTTCTTCTTGTCAGGGAAATATTTTATTTTTAAAAATATTTTATTCTCAGTTTAATATCAACTCCTGACTGATGAGAATACTAACTGTGGTGTGTACCCAAATAATTTGATCTGAGAACATGGCATATGTATGGAATGTGTTTGACTTTTCCTTTAGCTATTGATTACTACTCATTAGAATGCTTCCTACTTCACCCAGTGAAATTCCAGGCATGGAAGGGCAGTATACTCATGCCTTTTGGAGCTTTTGGGTCGGTGATTCTCAAGTCTGTGAAATTGAATCACCTATGGTTCTACATCAGCCCTATTCATTTATTTTTTATTTTATTAATTTTTTAAATATTTTTTTTTTATTTATACAATAGCTGGGGTACAGGCGTGGGAGGGTGAGAGGATTCCCCAGAGACAGAGTGGGGAGCAGAGCAGGCAACAGACCGAAAGCATTGCTGAGGGGAGCAGCGGGAGAGGCAGGAGAGGTCTGCTAGGCCAAGTGGGAATCTCCCTGGCCAGCCAGGAATCGAACCCACGCTGCAGAGGCTGCGGACAGCTTCACAGCACTGTGCTCAACCCACTGCACCACAAGGGAGGTCCCATTTATTTTATTAATTATGAAACTCTGTGTGTCCTGGACATTTGTATTTTTAAAAATGGTACAGGTAATTGGGGCATACATCCGGCATGAACCATAACATTAAATCTCTTTGGGGATTTATTTTTATGAAATAGAAACTTTTGTGATGTTGTTATCATACAGGAGGGGGAAAATTAGGGTGATTGTTGTAAAATGTATGTTTTTCTATTCCAGCAGCGAAATACTAGCGCAAAGTCGGTGGTGAGTTGATAAATCCAGAATTACAGTTTCACCAGAAAAAAGAAAGATTAATTTTTTGCAAAAGAGCGATTGTGAATCCAAGACTTGTAAGAAGGAGAAGTTGTAGCAGTTAGATTGAAATGGGAAAAAAAAAAATGAGTAGGGTCAAAGGTTTGAAGTCAAAATGGGTTGAAGGATTGTAGAGCTGTAAAACTGTGAAGATAGGTGGTGGTAAAAAGTGAACTGCTTGACATCAGGATTCAGAAATGAAATGTGTAGTATTTTCAGGTGAGGACTTAGGGAAATAAAATGGAAAGGTTGGAAATTAAGTCATTAAAATTGTTACAGGAAATAGTCAAGGGGATGAGCAAGGTGCTCTTATCTTCATTGGGAGATTAGAAGTAGTGGCCAGCAGGGTGTTGGTGCATGTGTTTTATGTCAGTGGATGTCAATTGAGGACAATTTGCACAATAGGGGACATTTAGCAATGTCTGGAGACATTTTTGTTTGTCGTAACGAGGGAGTGTGTGTGTGCGTCTGTTTGCATGTGTGTTCCTGGCATCCAATGAATAGAATCTCGGGATGCCTCTAAACCTCCAACAATGCACAGGACAGCTCCACAGACCCTCACAACAATCTGGCTCCAGCTGTCAACAGGGCTGAGGCTGAGAAACTACTCCAGAATCAAGGTGTATGTTGGCTGATAAACAGACCAACAGCTATCAATCTAATAAATATTGTGTTTCTATTTTAACTGAATAGTTCCTTACGGAAAGAAGACATAAAAACGTACATTTGTTCACTCAATCAACAAACATAAGCTACATTCCTACTTAACAGGGCCTCATTGTTCTAGGTATTTAAGATTCTTCAGTGAACACAACAGATATTGATGCCCTTGAATGCCTTTTATTCAAGCAGGGGAGAGAGAGAATAAAACACATAATAAATAGTAAATGAGATAGTCTGCTTGAAAGTGGTATTAAAAAGAAAAATGAAGGCAGCGATGACAGTAATTTTGCCCTACACTATTTGTTAATTTTTCACTTGATGACAGGTTAATGATTAGCTCCTTATTTTCCACACTTCTTTCACATTTGCTTTTTCAGAAAGCAAATGTAATCTGGATTAAATACTGAAATGAAGAAAGGAAGTGATGGGTTTTGAGTATAGAACTGAGACCAGTGGGGTCAGAGAAATGGAAAGGTTAAATTTAAAAAAGGAGCCAATGATTTGTAACAAACTGACAACCCTATTGTCTGCAGTGTCTCTATTAACCTACTGAAGAATTAACCTGCTGACTCATTTCAGCATGTAAGACAAGCCTCTCATTAGTCTCTCTGCCTCTCAGGTATGGTAACAGCACTAAGAACTATGCTGTTCGAGTTGGGGATTATCATACTCAGGTGCCTGAGGAATATGAGGAAGAAATTGGAGTTCAGCAGGTCGTGATTCACCCAGAGTACCGACCAAACAGCAGCGACTACGACATCGCCCTGGTGAGACTGCAGGGACCAGAAGAGCAGTGTACGAGGTTCAGCAGCCACGTCTTGCCTGCCTGTTTGCCCCTCCGGAGGGAGAGGCCACAGAAAACAGCCTCTAATTGTTACATCACGGGATGGGGAGACACAGGTAATGCAAACAATACAAAGGAACAAATGTGTCTGCACATTTCTCCAGTCTGGGGTTCTCCTCACTTTGGGGTGCACAAAAGGTAGTAAAATCTAAAGGAGTTCAGGCTTAGTTATTGGAAATATTGCCAAGTGTGAGATGCATGGATGTGATTTGGATTTACATCCTGAGGGCACTGTTGGTTCCCATAAGAACCTTAGCACAAACTGACAACCCAACTGCCTGGGAGCTTAAGGGGTAGAGATTTCTCTACTTCTTGTTCCGCAGACTAGTGAGGAGACAAAGGAAGATTTCAAGGCATACTGTAAGACTTGGGCCCTGGCAGTCTCTATTTTAAGCTTTCCCAACTGATTTTGATGTAGCTAACCCCGCAAAGGGCTCAGTGTTTGATTATTTCTTTCTTTGCATGAAGCCCCAACTCTTGGAGAATTCCTGTTCAGATCAGACAGAGCAGAGCTGCTGAGGATTAACTGAAGGGACTCCATTCATTCCAGTTTCTCCTCAGTGTCTCCTTCCCTTTTTCCCCACCTCCGAACCCCCCAAAGTCTATTACTCAGTTTAAGCTTATTTTTCATAAGGGAACAAGGCTTTGTGTAGTCTTACTAGAGTTCAATCCATGGATGCCAGCTGGTGCTTGCTCAGCATGGTGTTGGAAACCATAGAGCTAGCACTCACTTGAGTTAGGTGTTCCCTTTACAAGAGACCAGAAAATGGTCTTAGTATACTGTGCTGACCAGGGTGCCAATAGTCTCTGAGAAAGCTATAGTCTAATTTGTTAGAATTATGAACACCTCTGTAGGAAAGAAGATTCAATCATCTTTTGGATACATCTGCAATAATAGAAATGACCAATGAAGCGTATTTTACCATAGACTGATGATTCCAGTTGAATCAATAGGATCAGAAAATAATGGTGGAATTTAAAGCCAAGAAAAAGACGTCATGGAACATGTAGTAAACATATTAGCCACTAAACAAAGAGTGAATGATCTTACTAGAGTGGTAACATCAAGTGGTGAAAACTAAGCCTGTCTACATAAGGAATGCTTTGTTTCTCAATTATTCCTTATGAAATACTGTATTACTGTTTACAACAGTGATCGCTACCTTATGTGCTTATGTGTAATTATTCTTTGTAATTCTCACATTAAGTAGAGTAACCTTAGAGGAATGGGTATGTCACTGCAAAGCCAGCATGAATGCATCCTCAGCTTTTCGATGGGATTGCAATACTAAAGCTTGCATAAATATGCTTTTTAGTTAACTTCATAGCCGAGTACTTAAGTGTTACTCAGTTACTCCCACAGAATACAGTGGTGAGAAAGACATTAGTGAAGGATAGTGAGAAGAGCCAAGATTAGAAAAGGCAGCTAATGACGTTACGTATAATTCAGTTATTACTCATTTAAACTTTACTCATGTCATCATAGAGTTTATTTTCAAGATGACTCAGTGTTCAGTAAACCGTTCAATGTAGCTCTTTTCTGTGAACCCTTTAATTGGAATCTAATTTAGATTATTTGGTCTGAGTAGGACGAGCCTATTCAAGAACTCTTCAACAAGCTGCCATTCCCTTACTTCCCAAGAGGTTTTGTGAAGAACGTTATAAAGGCCGGTTTACAAGGAGGATGCTGTGTGCTGGAAATCTCCAGGACCACAAACGCGTGGACAGCTGCCAGGGCGACAGCGGAGGACCACTCATGTGTGAAAGGCCAGGCCAGAACTGGGTTGTGTATGGGGTGACCTCCTGGGGGTATGGTTGTGGAGTCAAGGATTCACCAGGTGTTTATACAAAAGTCTCAGCCTTTGTACCTTGGATAAAAAGTGTCACCCAACTCTGATTCTTCCTGAAAAACTCAAGAGAAAACACACTATCGAAATACCTGTTGGAAAGATTTCAGGCTAAAATTCACTCAACAAGTGAGGACTTTTATGTTTATGTTTAATTATGTTTCCCTCCCCTTTGCTGCTTTTAAGATTTGTGATGTGAACATTTTTGGCTAGATACCTCAGTGTGATTCTGATTACATTCAGTTACCATTGTTGCCTGCCCAAAGCAGTTTTACTGGTGATTAAATTCTTTATTCTCATTTAAGCTACATTGATCTCTTTTGCCTGTTTCTGAGCATTCTCGAGATTATCAAATATTGAGAAAAAGGCCATTTTTACATTTTGATTGAGAATGCCTTGTAATTGAATTGATACATGCATTCACATTTTAGATAAAAAAGTACCCTTACTATACTCAAGTAGTGGGAGTTCTTAAAAAAAAAGAATACATGTTTCTATCTGGGTAAGCCCTGTCAAGTAAGGAAATCCAAGGCCAAAATGGTAAAGGAATATTCATCATAAATCTCAACTGGAACAGGATCAAGCCACAGGGATATATGTCCAATCACAATTATTCCCAAGAAGCCATCATACCAAGCACTATGGCAACTATGACAAAAAATAGATTCTAGCTCCAGGTATGTTACAAGCAAAACTTGCAATTCCTGCTAACAAAGAATGCCTTCAAGTTATTGGTTGCACAAGTCAATATATCCACTTTTCTATCTCCTGTTCTTGCTTCTAACCTTACAAGTCTTCTGGATATGATGAGAGTGCCACCTACTGCAACTTTCTAGTAATTGGTCAAAACTGCAGATTCCCCAAGACTGTTACCTTATAGAACCTGACAGGGGTATACTGTTTAAAAAAAAATGCTTTCCATGCCAGTTAGGTGAAGGCTCCACACAAGTTTTCAACCAACTTACTGTACTAAATACTGCGTAAGTTCACTGTGCACCTCAATTTACAAAGGACTTAAAATTTTAGGAAAACAGGTCTAGAAGCCAGTTGAGACAGCTGATTTTGAAAGGCAACTGCAGAAAGAAGTCCTGATGCTGACAATGGTTACCAGCCCACACCCTGAAGTTTCTCCTCTACTTACCAAAGGGCAAGAGAAAGCTGCTTATCACACATCCTGAAATCTATCCTTGGCAGCAGTACATAATCTGTACCCAAGTATGAGGTATGTCCCTCGAGACACCTAAATAATTTTTAGACATGACTGCCAATGAATCCTCCCTGAAATCCTAAGAAAACTCTTGTTATATGCAAGAGGTAGATGTAATGACAAAAAACCATAAAGTTTAATGTTAACTTTAGCATTGAGTGGCTTAAATAGTCTCCCCCTCAAGTTGCTCATAACAATGGACTGGACCTTTTGCATCAAATCATGTCATTTTTGTAAATCCTCAGCTTTGTTTAAAAAAAAAGTTAACTGGTGCTTACCTAATGGTGCTTTATAGTTTACAACTTTGCAAAAATGTAATGTTATTTAAGTAGGATTACATTAAAACTTCTAAAAAGCTCAAGATTTTGATAGAGGGAAAATGTTTAAGTGTCACATAATGTAATGATTGAGCTGCATCTAATGTAGCTTGCACAAGGGCTTGGGAAGAATGTGCAATACAGGTGAGAAAGTCTGCAGAAACCCCTCACAGGCTGCCCTTATAACTAGTGCTGGAGGAAGCAACATTTATATTGAAATTCAACTGAGCTAGGCTGGCAGACAAAGTTATCAGTTTGTTCAAGCTTGAATTGGAATACTTTGTAACATGTTATAGCTCATTTCTTGGTAACTGACTTTTACTATATACAAGTGTTTGTTGCATATTTGTGTAAATAAAGCACATAGCTTTTCACCTAGTATTGTTGCTTTAATCTTTCATGTGATAAGACAACGAGCAATTTTTTCTAGGATTGACATGTTTTAGTTTCCCCAAATGCTGAAAATACCCTTACAATACTGGAATTCCAAGGTAATGTTTGCTGTTACTTGTATTTACTGAGTGAAGGTACACCAAATACCATTTTACAATTATAACAATGAACTACTATTTAAATAGCAGTTTATTTAGACATGTATTTAAAATACAGCCAGAGTAGTCTTCAGAACATCAGTAGTCACTCATTCCCCTGGTGAGATTTAAAATCACAGGTACTGTATGCAGGATACTGATCAAGATGTCACCCATATCACTTCAGAATTCTTGTCTGCAAGGGAAGAAAACCAATCCATAAACTCGTGTTTGTGTATTGAACACACAGCGAGATGAGGCGACTTAATCAGTTAATCTCAGCCTCAGCTGACGCTTTCAAATTACAAAAAACGCCAGAAACGGGCCAATTTAATTTTGGCCTTCCAATTCCTTAGAGCTAGCGCTTTCAGATTAACTCCAAAATACAAACAAAAGGGAACATACCTTGTTTTAATTTCCATCACCCATCGGAACTCGGCTTCCTAAAAACATTGGAACAATGTTTAGATATTTGCCCCGTAACGCCGCACCCTCCCCATTTTTAAGAGTAATCAACTGTTACTTGTGCAAGTCAGAATCTGATACCAATTAAATGGTGACAGCTTTGCCAATAAACAAGAATATGCTCTTCCATGGCTAGGAAGGGAGACTGCCACAGCTGACAGGTCCCAAAGACACATGGAGATCCACAGTGCAGAAATGACAAGATGCACAACGCCGGGCATTACTCACCAACGGGCTCCAACGGCGGCCATCAGGACGCGTGACCACACAACTATGGCGGCGCAGATGGAAGGCGGAAGGACACTCTTCCTCGGCGTTCCTGGCAGCGTGTTAGCTCACCCCGAAGGCCCGGGGCCCATCGCGCTCGCGGGCTCAGCGCCCAGGGCAGCACGTGGCCGCCGACGGCCTAACGCGCTAAGTCGGCCCTGGCCGTCCCACCCAGGGGTTTTAAAAGCTGAGCGCCAAGTGGCAGCCCAAGACGTCTGAGTTTTTTGCATTTTCAGCCAAGTCAAAAAGTCCTATAACAGGTTTTTTATTTGTTTTGGCGCAGAAAACGCCAAGGCGAACCACCACAGACACACGCTCTCCGGACGCAAAGGAAAGAGAAACGCCGCGCACGCACTTTTATAGCGCTGATGACGCTCTTTCGGGGAACGCCCCTAGATGGGCGGGGCTTATGCAAATAGTCCTCGTAGCCCCGCCTCGATAGCTCCCCTTGCGTTCACCCGCTTCTATTTCATGGCCCCGCCCATTTCTCCTCTTCTCCCCCTGGCCTCCCCTCCTCAAGCTGTGGGCGGCTCCCGCGGGCTCCGTTTTCTGCGCCTGCGCCTGAACAGGGCCCAAGAAGTCTCGCGATACCAGGAAATCCCGAAGCAGCTCGCGTTAGGGGCTGGCGGAGCGGAGCGGGGAAGTAGTTGGCCGTGACGCTAGGCTAGAGCCTTTAGCCGTCACCGTTGTCACGGAAACGCCAGGTTCGGTAGTTCTAAGCGTTGTAAACTTCAGGCGGCGCAGTTTCTGTGGAACTCGCGCTGCTTTTAGCTCTTGGCGAGTTAAGTGTCGGCCTCCGGCGTCTGCGCCGGAATTGCTGTTTCTGAGGCGCAGGTGTCCGCGACGCGCCCTCAGGCTTCGTCTGGTGGCTGGTTCCGGGCGAACCTTCTAGAAGCAGCTGCGCTCGGTGCTAACAGCCTCCCCGACGATGTTGTGAAGGAGGCTGAGGAGCGCGAGGCTGGCGGACGGGCGGCGGGCGGCGGCCGCGCGTTTCCCGCGCTCACCCGAGTCAGCTGCTCGCTCCGGGCCCCCCGGTTCCGAACCCCTTGGTTCCGAACCCCTTGGTTCCGGGCCCCTTCGGTTCCGAGTCCCCCGGTTCCTAGCCCCCCGGTTCAGGGCCCCTCTGGCTCCGGCCCCCCCGCTTCCGGGTCCCCCGGTTCCGAGCCCCCCGGTTCCGGCCGCCTGGCCGCGGCGCCGGGTCTCCCCGCCCCGGCTGCCCCTTCTGAGGAGGCAGTTAGTGAGGTGGGGCGCGCCCGCGGGGGAAGGGGGAAGTGGTTTTCGTCCCAGGTTGTGTGTGAGGGGGCCCTCAGGCCTTCCAAATTCCGTGTTTTCCTCCGGTGTGGAGCAAAGAGAGGATCCGGGTGAGAGTTTTCCTTAGCCGTGAACCGTTTGGTGCCGAGAGGCTGGTGAGGGAAGGGCTGCAGTCGCCTTCGCCAGAGGTTCGCGAGGTCACCACACACCTGGGGGGACAGAATGACTAAGGCCAACGCTGCCAGTTTGGCTGAGAGAGGACAAGTGCAGAGGAAAATTTTTTTTTTTTTTTTTAAGATTATTTATTTATACAAGCACTGGGTACAGTCAGAAGCGCGGGAGGGTGAGAGAATTCACCAGAGCCAGAGCGGGGAGCAGAGCAGGCAGAAGGACCGAAGTACACTGCTGAGGGGAGCAGCGGGTCTACTGCACCATGTTGGACCCTGGTCCCGCGGCCGGGGATCGAACCGGCGCTGCAGAGGCTGCGGGCAGCTTAGCAACCCAGCTCTCAACTGCTGCGCCACCAGGGAGGCCCTTGGGTTTTTTTTTTTTTTTTTAAAGATTTATTTATGGATACAAGAACGCGGGTACAGGCCAGATGCGCAGGAGGGTGAGAGGACTCACCAGAGACAGAGCTGGGTGCAGAGCAGGCAGACTGAGGAAATGCACTGCTGAGGGGAGCAGCGGGCGAGAGCAGAGAGGTCTGCCGCACATGGTGTGTATCTCCCTGGCTGGCCGGGATCGAACCTGCTCTGCAGAGGCTGCAGGCGGCTTTACAGTGCTGCGCTCAACCGCCTTCGCCACTGGGGATGCCCCAGGAAATAAGTTTTAATCGGAAAGAACCAGAACTGTTTCTAAGGCTCTCCTTTCCCCACCTTACCCTACTTTCACTCCACCTCAGTTTACTCATTCCTCTCACTAATGGTATCATGACAAGGCTAGAATGCCAAGCCCTAGAGGGGAATTTTGCCAAGTTAGATTCATCTGGAAGCCAGCGCTATCTGTGCTGTGCCAGAGTGACAGCCAGTCCCGCAGCCTGGATCCCGCACGTGGCCCCTTCCCCAGTGCCATGGGCTACAAGTGAGGTTGGAGGCTTCTAAGCCCTTCTCTTGGCCTGTAGGCAGCCCCCTTTAGTGCACCAGACATTGGCTGAGCTCGTACCCTGTAACCTCCTTTTACCTATTTACAGCTTTAAAAAAAATTTTTTTTTAAAGATTTATTTATACAAGCACTGGGTACAGTCAGAAGCGGGGAGGGTGAGAGAATTCACCAGAACCGGGAACAGAACAGGCAGACTGATGAAGTACACCGCTGAGGGGAGCAGCGGGTGCCACAGGAGAGGTCTGCATGACATGTGGGACCCTTGCTGGTGGCCTTGAACTGGTGCTGCAGAGGCTGCGGGCAGCTTTGCAGCCCAAAGCTCAACCCCTGTGCCACTAGGGGAGGCTCTGCCTTATTTGCATCTTTAAAGATGTTGTTTACAAAGCCAGTCCTGGTCTGAGGTATTGAGGATTAGGTCTTTGATATAGTTTGGGGGCGGAGGTGGAGGAAAGATATATTTGGCCATCAAGCCCTAACAACAGCCACTCATACTAAACTACAGAGAATTATGGAAGGTTTTTGTTTTTATTTTTAAAGGTTTATTTTTATTTCTTTATGCATGCAAGAAACTGGGGTCCAGGCCAGAGATGATGCAGGGTGGGGTGAGAGGATTCAGCAGCGAAGAGTGGGGAACGGAACAGGCAGATTGAAATACACTGCTCCCCCTAGGTTCCAAAGAGTGGGCAAGTAAAATCCTACGGTGACCTCAGAGGAGGACAAATCAGAAATATCAGCGAACAGCACTAAACATTTATACAGTTGCCATGTTAAGATTTTTTTTGTAATTTTATATTTTCCCTTTTCTATATTATAACTCGGACATAATCTGAGACATGTCTGAGTTGTCTGCTACCTTAATTTCCCTTTTCCAATTAACTTTCTGAAAGATCAACTTCCCTGAAATAGTATTCTGTCCATATTTAGTCACTTGCTACAGGAACTGTTGTTAAGCTTTCCTACTATTACCTGGCCACATCCCTAATCCTTGGCCAAAACAATGTATGTTACACTTTCGTGCTCGTTCCTATTTTTGATCATTCTTTTTCATAGCATAGCCTTTATTTCCCACTGTTCCTACTCATTCATTGAGATTCATTTTGCTTCAAAATTTTTTTTTCAAGAAATCTTTTTTTTTAGATGACCAGTGAAAGTTGGCCTTTTCCCTTTCTTGCTGTTCTTGATATTCTTTATGCCTTATGTTTTTTAAAAAAAAAAGTTCATTAAATTGTTCATGTAACTCACTTTTAATGTTTTTATTGACTAACTTTGACATGTAACATTGTATAAGTTTAATGTGTATGGCATTTACATTGATACGTTATATATTGTAATATAATTGTCAATGATAGTGTTATTTATTACACTACACAGCAAAATATTATTGTATGTTTATTATACTGTGGTCAAAAAATATTTAAGGAATTCCTACTATATACCCGGCCCAATTCTAGGTGCTGCGAGAAGAGCAGTAAACAAAACTTGCAACATTTTATATTCATTGGAACTCACACTTTCGTGGTGAAAAACAGATATAAATAAGAATATTAGCCTTCTAGAAAAGCAGAACTACTAGGAGATTGTACAGATACAGTTTTCAAGTGGAGGAAGCAAAGAAAACTGGCAACTACAAGCATGAACTAAAATTCCTGTGGATGAACTAAAATCTACACTGATTTCTGCCTGGTTCTAAGAGTCCAAGTTTGATGATGGAAGTTATCAGCACAAGAAGCTTGTACCCTTTATCATAGACTCAGGTATTGCTGATGTTGGAAGAGAAGCATTTTCACATCTATAAGAACTGTAAGAACTAGCAGATACATGATGACTTGCATGATTTGCAATATTTCCAATTCCCTGCCCTACCCTGCTCTTCCCAGTGTGAGAAAAGGTCTGTGACTGTTGCTTCACTTCATCTACCAGCTCTCATGCAGATATCTCCTGTGGCCATGCTAACCGGAACTTTTCCGTGAAGGCTTAGCTAAGTTGACAAAAGAGAAACGGACCACTACTTAATAAGTAACTTATATGGTACGCTAAATTCAGTAAGTGCTGTGGAGAAAAAGCAAGGAAGAGGGTAAGAAGTGTTTGGGAGCTAGGAATAATAATCTTCCAAAGACTAGGGAATTTCTCACTGAAGATGAGATTAAGCCAAACACTTGAAGAAGGTAGGGGAGTGAAGCACGCACATAACATCTCAGAAGAGTATTTTAACCGAGTGGTCCTGTACTTCGTGTGGAAGGCAGGCTTGTGCAAGGCTGCCAGTGGTCCCCACCTCATCTTCCTCCTTTATGTAATCCTCTTCCCTTGAGTGGCAAAGTGATGAGAATTTGTGTCTTGTTACCATTCTCTTTTCTGTTCGGATTGCTTCTTTGGTGACGCGCGCTGCTATATTGGAGAGACCTCAGTGGCAGTTCCAGTAAGGGACTGAGGCTGTCCCACCTACAGCCAGTGAGGAACTGAATACTGTGGACAACCAGGTAATGGAGCTTGCAAGTGGATCCTGAGCTTGTCAAACCCTTGAGATGACTACAGTCCCAGCATTTGTTTGCTGCCTATGAGAGACTGCATTATCTGAACTATTCCTGGGTTCCTGACCTAATAAAAGCATGAGATGACAAATACTGTTTTAAGTCAGTGATTTTTGGAATAATTTGCTATTCAACTCATAATTTTGCCTTGTTCAAAGAACAACATTAAATCCAGCTTGACTGGAGTGGGGTAAGCAAGTAGTAAGTGAAATTAGAAAGGTAATAGCAGGCTGACTGGGGTCTTATGAGTTATATGGTTTTTGATTTCTGCTTTTTTTTTTTTTTTTTTGAGTAAGCTCAATAGCCATTTGTGAGTCTTGAGTGGAAGTGTGATAGGATGTAATTTGGGGTTAATATGTCTGGGTTTTGTTGAGGACAGAGAGGAGTGGTGAGATAGTATAGGGCAGGGAAGCCAGTAGGCTTGTGCAATAATACAGGTTAGAGAATGGTCTTGGCTCAGCAATACCAGTGGAGGGAGGAAATGATTCAATTCTGGACATTTATTTGAAGACATTGGCTATAGAATATAAGAGAAAGGAATATTTAGGATATGAGAAAAATGAAGTGTTATTATTTGTTGACATGAGGAAATGCATGAGTCATAGCAGCTTTGAGAGCAGTACTAGGTGGGGAGCACAGTTTGAGCTTCCTTTTAGACATCCATGTGGAATTTTTGACCAGGGAGTTTGATACATGGCTATGGAGATCTCTGGAGAGGTCTGGCTGGAGTAATAAAAATAAGCTGTTAAACTATAGAGCGTACGTAAAGCCATGATATTGTGTGCTAATAATGCACAAAGGTCAGTGGAAAATAGGAACAAAGA